TTTGGCAGTGTTTTCCGGCCTGAACACTGCCGAATTAATGATTTTTGTCCCTGGGACCTCCCTGCAGGGACAAAAATCACTAATTTGGCAGTGTTCTGAACACTGCCAAATTAATGATTTTTGTCCCTGGGGTGCCCCGCAGGGACAAAAATCACTAATTTGGCAGTGTTCTCCGGCTTGAACACTGCCAAATTAATGATTTTTGTCCCTGGGACCTCCCTGCAGGGACAAAAATCACTGATTTGGCAGTGTTCTCCGGCCTGAACACTGCCAAATTAATGATTTTTGTCCCTGGGGTGCCCCGCAGGGACAAAAATCACTAATTTGGCAGTGTTCTCCGGCTTGAACACTGCCAAATTAATGATTTTTGTGTCTGGGCCCGCCCTGTAGGGACAAAAATCACTAATTTGGCAGTGTTCTTCGGCTTGAACACAGGGGGCCCTTGCAGGGACAAAAATCACTAATTTGGCGGTGTTTTCCGGCTTGAACACTACCAAATTAATGATTTTTGTCCCTGGCGGGGCGCCCGCCCTGCAGGGACAAAAATCACTAATTTGGCAGTGTGGTTTTTGTTGCGAGGGGGAAGTTCGTAACAATCTCATGTGGGAACATTGAAAGACATGAGATCGAATTTGACAGCTGTGGTTGCTATCGTGAAGCGATGTGTTAAGACGATACAAGCTTCTGATGAACATCGACAGCGAGTTTTTGATGCAAAATTAATGCCAAATTAGCGAGTTTTAGAGTATAGTAGTGGCTTCTAGGGTTTAGGGCGTATTTGGTTGGCCGTTAGGGTGTAGGAAGAAATTGTATATTTTCCTAATGTTTTGGGATTCTTTGGGCGGGTGGGTTTTTTACTACTACACTGCTGGCCTAGTGATTTCTTAGCCCAGTTAATCGTAAACCCTAAACCCTAAACCCTAAACCCATAAAGCCTCTCGGAGGTGCCTAGGCAAGGGCATGAAGATTCTGCTGCCAGCGGCTGGGTCCAAAGAGCCTCTGAAGCCGCTGGGCCTGGCTTCTTTTCGTACCTTAAGGCTCTGAAGCCCTAAAACCCTAAACCTTAAGGCTCTAAACCCTGAAACCCTAAACCTCAAGGCTCTGAAACCCTGAAACCCTACACCTCAAGGCTCTAAAACCCTAGACCCCTAAAGGTTCTTCTAAGGGTGAGTTCCTGGGTTCTTTGAGGTTATGATGGAGGTTTCCGGGGGGGCTCCTCAAGTCTACTTAGAGGACCAGGGGACTTAGTAAGAAGGGTTTCTGTAAAGGGGTCCTTTTAAGGGTTCTATAGGGGTACTATAGGGGTTTAGGGTGTAGGGTCTAGGATCAGGGGACGTAGTAAGTAGGGTTATAAGTAAGGTAACTATAGTTATATCTGCTTATAACCTGAATTAAAGTACTTATAGCCCTACTTGCTAAGTCCCATGATCCTTTAAGTAGTCTACGTTGCTTTTGCTTTGTCAGGCTACTCTATCCTAAACCCGAAACCACGCCTACTCCGCACCTGGAGCCTGTCCGCAGAGGGTTGAAACTTAGATGTTCGAGTCCCCAGAGACTCCAATACCCCTTAATTAAGGAAGATTCCTTAAATCATATTAGGGATCCCATTATGATTTAAGGTTTATTCCTTAATTAAGGGATATCCAACAGAGGAAGTTCCGTGATGTGGAAACCACCGTAACCACTAATATCCCTGTATAAGTGTACCTAGTACGCCCAGACACCCTTTCTTGCTTTTAGGACCGCTATGGTAGCTAGCCTGGGTATGGGTTTTCTACAATCCCTGTATCATCTAAAATATGGAGCTCCATAACATTACAGAACAGCATGGCCTTAACTTGACCGACAATAAGAATAAGGCCCTGACAGATTGGCTCTTCTTCCCAGAGACTCTAATATCCCTGAATGAAGGAATATTCCTTAAATTATGGTAGGATCCCTAATCTGATTTGAGGAATCTTCCCTAATCAAGGGATATTGGAGTCTCTGGGTTGGAGGTCCAGGGACTTCACAAGTAGGGTTAGTTATAGGTCCGGAAACTGTAGTTCTATCTGTCTATAAGTTGAACTAAGACACTGCTAACCCCACTTCCTACTTCCTACGTCGCCTGAATCTCTGAGTGCATTGTGAGGGTGGGAGGTTGCCGTTTGTGCGAAGTCCGCCCCTGCAAGAGTCATGCGAGGGGCTTTGGGCGCTCAACAGCTCGGGGTCCAGGATTTGAGACTTCAGTGTTTCCCGAAGGCTCCATCTACCCATATGGTATATACTTAGCCCTTAAAGTACCTACATGCGGACCCCTTTAAACCGTAAGTTTCTACTATAAAGGTGCATGCAGCCTGGGGTTTACTTCGGGTGGCTAGGATGGAGCAGAAGTGTGCAGGTCGAGCATTGGAGAGGTTGCTGCTTGAAGAGATGTTCTTTTCGTGCATCTTTCATTGATGGCGATTATGAAGATCATCGGGATGAGCCAACCGAGTAATCGAGAAGTATTCCGTACATGTTTCTAGGGATTCTCAAGGGGATTTCCATGAAGGCCTTGCCTGCAAAGGCAGAAATCCTACGAGAACCCAGAACAACCTCGCGTGCAAAACCTGAGAAGGCTGTACTACAGCAGAAGCCGTCGGCACAGAACACCCCTACAAGTAGTAGTATTCTTAAAGCCCCTGTACAAGTGTAATGTTCTGTATCCGAAAAACCATACTCAAACTGTTACAGCTTCTATGTTGCCCAGGCTGTATGGCAAAGAGTGCCACTCCTATACTATTCTAGTAAGCGTTATAGATCCCCTGAAGTCACCCTTCAGGTTCCTCTAGTGCTCAGAATAAGCATATTAATCGAAAAAATAATTAGAACTTTCACAAGTGTAATAACACTGGTAATAATGTCAATGATAGTGATCAAGGCTGTATGGAAAAGAGGGCGGCTGCTCCTGGAAGCTGCCGCATCTCCAGCTGGACTTTTTTCTTTGGCCAGGTGAGGTCTTCCCTCTCGGTAGCTGAGTAGGTAGCCTTCAACCTTTTCCGTTTGGGGTTTAGGGTTTAGGGGGTCTATAAAATCCTACCAAGATTGACGAGGTTAGCCTTGTTCGGGCTAGGATACTCATCCACTAAGTCCTTCTTAATGGGGAAGAAAAGGAGGTTTCGGGTTCCTTCAAAGGGTCCTGTAGGGATCGCTAGGTTAGAGTGCACCGGCCTTTAAAATTAGCCTAGGGTGCCTTTAGAGGGTTCCGGTGGAAGTGGTCTATAAGGTTACTACGAGGCTTCTAACATCGGGGCCATAAGAATTAGAGTTTGGGTCTCGTAAGGAACCCTATGAACCAACATGGGTAATCACTCAGACTTCTACATTGGCTTGAAGAACCCTTCCAGCAACACCCTTATGGTAATTAACCCGGGTCGTGACTCGCTAGTAGAAGTAGTAGTAGTAGTAGTAGTAGTAGTAGTAGTAGTAGTAGTAGCAGTAGCAGTAGGGTGGCAGTCGTTGTACCAAGATGCCAATCACATCCAGCACACAGTGCCGAGTGCCAGTGCATCGTAAGCGGTCCAAGCAGTGGGCCCACCGGCTGCCTTCCAACCCAGACACTTCAATATCCCCTAATTAAGGAACATACTTTAAATTATGATAGGATCCGTAATATGATTTAAGGAATATTCCTTACTTAAGGGATACTGGAGTCTGGGAAGTTGGGGAGAAAAACAACAACTCCAAATCCGCCAAGCCCTTAAGTCCCAAGCTTCCCTGAACCCCGACATGACGACGGGTTCCACTTATGAGCCGCCATGCCATGAGGCATTAAAAAAATCTAGTATAGTGTGTTATAGTATAGCATATTATGTTAGAGTATATAGTATATTATGTTATAGTATAGTATAGTTTATACTTCTGAGCCGCCATCCCACCAGGCCGCCAGATGGAACTTGCTCTGCAGGATGGCTCCACTCAGCTGGCGTGCGATGTGCCGCTGGCTGGTTTAGGGGTTTAGGGTGACCTTTGAGAAGATTATTAGAATTGGGCTTATAGTCGTTTTTCTGCAGAGGTTTACGCTTAAAAACTTGAGATACTTGGGGTCTAGGGATTTCGACATGAAAGGTGTGAGTCTTTGAAAGACGCTGAAACTCCCGTTCCCTTTTGTTTCACTTGAGTTTGGGTCTCTGAAAAACGAGAACACCTATTATTGACCCCTGGACCAAGGAATGTACAGGTATGTTGTTATGCTCAAAAATCGAAGCCGAGCTAGACCTACACCTGACCTTGCCATAGAACTTCCAATGAAGTTGTTGACTCTCTCATGTACGGGATATTTATTCCTCGTTTACCATGTACTGGGACGTCTTGGTGCTCAAAGGCGACAGCTGCGTGACTAGCAATGATATTTCATAGTTTAAGACGAAGAAGAGGAACAGTAATAGCACTAATAACAACAAATGATTAGTGATAATAACAATGCAACCATCTTAATAACAGCAAAAAGAATAAGAACATGAACAATGACAACAACCACTACTGTTATCAACATTAATGGTACTACAGGTAGTCATCGTAGTAGCCGTAATATTAGCAAGCCCGAAAGCCGCGTCAGGAAGACACAGGCTCAATGCCCGTCCTCCTCTTCAATGATGAGCCGAGCTTTTGGAATCCCTTTATCAGCCAGGCCCACTCTTCAAGGATCATGGGACTTAGTAAGTAGGGTCCTTTGAAGGGATCTATAGGGTTCTATTATAAGAGGGGTTTATAGGGTCTACTTAAAGGATCATGGGACTTAGTAAGTAGCATGAATTAGGGCTGTAAGTAGATGTAACTATAGTCTAGGGCCGAGGGCTTGAACAAGGACCCAGGGGGAGAAGAAGAGAAGAAGATTAGGGACCCTTTTTGGGCATAGTAAATATTAGGTGCCGTACTATAATAAGGACCCCAACCTACCTAAACCCTACACCCTAAACCCCTGCTTCCAGTGCAAGCCGATTCATCCCCCGACTTCGCGTATCTCCTGCGTCTGCGCCATGGACAACAACAAGGCATGGAGCGAAGCAGGCAAATTGCCCTGCAGCACCTACTCGACTTTGGAAAGCCTGCGTCTGGCAGCGAGGCTCAGACGTGAAGAAGCCAAGATGAACGAACGACGCGTAAAGGCCCACGACGTGATCGTCTGGCAATCGGCCGAGCAGGTTGCAAGGCGATTGACGTTCGCCGAAACAATGGAGGACGAAGCAAGACGTTGCGATCAGGTCGTGCCTCCTCTGGCAACCGGGACCGGGACACGCATCAGCGACATCGTGAAAGAATGTTGCAAGTTGTGGTTCAGCTCCGTAGAGACTTTCAAAGTCGAACCATGCATGCGGTGTTTTAGGGTTCATTTCAAGGGGTCCTGTTAAGGGGTTCTCTAGGGGGGTACTATAGGGGTTTAGGGTTGAGGGTCTAGGATCAGGGGACGTAGTAAGTAGGGATATAAGTAAGGTCACTATAGTTATATCTGCCTATCCCCAATTAAGGTACTTATAGCCCTAGTTACTAAGTCCCATGATCCTCTAAGTAACCTTAGACCCGAAGGGAAGCATGGGCTAAAACTCGAAGTGCCTAGCCAGAAAACACGAAAACATACCCTAAAGCCCCAAGCCCTGAAGCTCTAAACTCCAAACCCATAACTTAGTTTTTGGTTCCTGTAATCCTTAAGAAACAGCTGAAATCATGATTTTTGCTAGGGGTCTAAGTTCAGTATGGATAAGAACAAAGCCCTTCTAGAACCGGTCGAGGCATAGTTTTCGAGGTAATGTAGGAGCCTGATTAAGAAACCCTGGCCCTAAAACTCCAATATATTAGGATCCATATTAAGAACCCGAAGAAGGACCCAAGGTTTCTAAGGTTCCTACATTAGGCTACTATTTGCTTAAGAACCCCCAAAAAATAAAAAATAATAATCCCTATATTATCCCTATAAGGAATACATTTTTTATTTTTTTGGTGGTTCTTAAGCAAATAGTAGTAGGCCACCGGGATCTTTTGTAGGTTGCTTTATTGGGTTTGGCGGCTTAGCGTTCAGGGCTTAGGGCTTGTTTTGTTGGGTTGAAATGGAGCTTGTTTACGAAAAGTAGTTTTCAGAGGCGTTCAAGGCCCAAACTCGCTTTTAATTCTGAGACGGCCCATAGACCTCAAATCCCGGAACCTGACATCGAACACTGTAGAAGCCTTAGATACTCTGTTTAGGTTGATCGCATTAAAGGCACATCCATGGGTCTCCATACTGAGGCTATTAAGGGTTCTGTGGAGGGCTATGTACTGAACCGTTAGGGTGTAAGGGTTGTACATTTAACATGGGCTCCTGGAGTCTCTGGAGGTGTCAGGTACCTGTTACTCTTTGGAATTATAAGTATCCTATCCTTAATTACGATCCCTTTTTGGGCACTTAAAATTTGATGAGTTCTTACTTACTGGTTAAAACTCATGACCCTCCAAGTAGCCTTCGCTTCACCGGTGCCTGCCTGCTTAGGGAGGTTTCTGGGCTTAGAGTTCGATCATAAGTTTAGGAAATAGGAAGGCCTGAACGAATAGTAGTACTATTCCTTACTCAAAGGATCATTGAACTTAGTCAGTAAGTAGGGTTAAAAGTACGGGAGTTACAGTTATAGCCGTTATAGCTACGAAAATTGGTACTTTTGTAACCCTACTTGATACGTCCCCTGATCCTCTAAGTAGAGTTACTTGCTATCCTTCTCCCCAGAACCTTGCTCCAATTATTCAAGGACCTTGTGGCACAAGTACCTCCAATGAAAGCCCAGAAAGTTTCTTGTGTAGCCAAGCATCAGAAATCGAGAAACCTGTTCGTCCGTTTCCGGTGGGAATTTGTGTGGTTCCTGTTTCACGGCCCTAAACCCTAAACCCTACAACCCTTGCAGAACCCGATATAACAATATGGGGGGTTTCCGAAAATAGGGGACCCTAATAGAGTACCCTAAATAGTAGGATCCTTATTATAAGAACCCCAAATAAGGTACCCCTAATTTGCGGAAACTCCCTAAACCCTAAACCCTATAGATCCCTTATAGGAACCCATAAAGGATAAAGGATCCCTTTAAAGGAGCCCTAAGGTACCCCTAGTTTTCGGAAACTCCCATATGTGCGGGTGGCACATCGGAATTTCCGTGCATCTCAGGGGCTGAGATAAACATCCGAAACCCTGCAAAGGACTCCGTAAAGGGATCGATAGGGTCCTTTAAAGAGATCTATAGGATACTATAGGGTTTAGGGTTTAGGGTCTACTTGGAGGATCATGGGACTTAGTAAGGAGGGTTCCTTAAAGGGCTCCTTAAAGGGATCTATATGGGTGCTATAAGGGATCTATAGGGTTTGGGGTTTAGGGTCTACTTAGAGGATCATGGGACTTAGTAAGTAGGGTTATAAGTACTTTAATTAGGGTTATAAGTAGATATAACTATAGTGACCTTACTTATAACCCTACTTACTAAGTCCCCTGATCCTCTAAGTAGCTCACTAAGCCCCAGATCCTGGCCATCAACAGCCCCAAAGCCAACCCCTAGACCTTGCGCCTAAGCCCTAAACCCTAAACCCATAAGCCCTATAGACCCCGTGTGCAGGCCCAGCTTCTCATGGGCTATGTGTCCCTGGCAGCTCTAGACATCGATCCCAAGAGCCTTCGAATGGTGCTGGCGGTTGACCGGGAGCTCTGATACAACCCCGAGGGGTGAAGCGAAGGGGGGGTTGGGGGGGATTAAGGGTTCCTGTAAGGATTCTGCAAGGGTCATACATAGGGTCTTCGGGGATCCCCTCTTTTTTGGGTGTAAGGTTCTGGGTTGTTCAGCTGTTGAGGGCTTTTCTTGTGTTTAGGGCATACAAGGGTTCCTGAGACTGCAAAACCCCATGATTCAGGGACAGACCTTAAATTATAGGAGGACTCATCTTATACTATGATGAAAGGTGCATTTCTTCATTACAGGGTTGGGAGTCTCTGACACAACCCGGGGGCTTCTTGAAGGGATTGCGGGAAGCCTTACATTTGCAAGGGTTTAGGGATTGATGGTTCTGCCATGTCAGTAATGACGATGGGCACGATGTTTGTGATGATGAGGAAGCGGATGCTGAAGAAGCTCATGACAATGACAAGTAAAGTGATAGCCTGAGGAGGGATACTGCAAGCAGCAGCCTGAGGAAGCAAGATTGCCACAGCGATAGAGATGCTGAACAGAGAGAAAAAGGATAGCTGACCATCTGAATAAGGACATGCCAGCAGCCTCGGCAGGGTTTGCAACGATTTCAACACTGCAATGTGTGGGGTGGCCTTCTGCGATCAAGCCGATCAAGCCATTGTAATGGCGCAGATCACCAAGCACTCCCCAGAGAGCCCAATACCCCTTAATTGAGAAATATGGCTTAAATCATAATATGAAGCCCTATATAATTTAAGCCATATTCCCTAATTAAGGGGTATTGGGCTCTCTGGGTCCACAAACACATCACTGTTGCATAGCACAGCGCACGCTAAGCCATGGCTGAAGCCCAAAGCCCAAACTGCAGTGTTCTAAGACGTTCTATCTCATTCTACTACAACTCCCAGGGGGGTTGTTCAACGCACCCAAGTAGACCCTAAACCCTAAACCCTTGTGGCACCCTACAGATCCCTTAAAGGAACCCTTACACCCCTACTTACTATGACAGGAGGCTATGCCGGTGTCCACAGCGCCTTTGTTGCCCTTGTTGGAGGGACTCTTCTCACGAGCAGCTCCCAGCACCGCGGCTTTATAGATCCGAAGGATCACGGTTTAGGGTTTAAGGGTTTAGGGTTTAGAATTTCGGGTTTGGGAGTTTAGGGTTTAGAATTTAGGAGTTTAGTGGTTTTCTGGTTTAGGGGTTCGGGGTTTTGGGTTTAGGCCTTACGTTGAGGGTCCCCGAGACACTTCGTAAGTTGGTTTATAAGTAGACTTATATTATAAGTACCCTAAAGGAGATCTTAATTGTTGTTATGATACTTATACCTGCTTCAGGGTTTCCGGAGTGGAAAGGTGTTCAGACAGGACTTGAATGATTCTAGGATTTCTACGTGTTACGAGTCTTTCGAGGATACTCAGCCCCCGCGCCCTAAGCCCTAAACCCCCAAAAGCCCTAAAGGGCTCGTTTAAAAGTTCCTTTTGGTGTACTCAGCCCTTCAGAATCTGATAAATCTGACGACGCCCCGGGTGCTCAGCCCTAAGATTATGAAAGCCCCTACATTAAATTCTTAGTATATCCTTTCTGGCATTCCTTCTAGGCCCCTTTACAGGAACACTAGAATCTGTAATCTGACGACATCCCGGCGGATTCGGGCAGAAAGGGAAGGCGGAGCGGCCCCTGGCAATTCGGTCTAACACAGCTCTCGACCCAGAGTGCCCAATACCCCTTAATTAAGCAATATATAGCTTAAATCATAATATGAAGCCCTATATAATTTAAGCCATATTCCTCAATTGAGGGGTGTTGGGCTCTCTGGGGACTCAGTAGAGTACTATAGGGGCATAAATAAATACCAATATTATTTTAGTGGCTCCTTAAAAGAATTCTAGTATATTGGGAAACAGAACCCTATTCTAATTATTAAGGCCGCCATAGTAGTAGTAGAGTAGGTAACCTTTAACCTTTTTGTGGCACTATACTCCCTACATCATCCCAATATACTCCCAAAGGTTAAGCTGCAGTTCCCCAGGATAGTCGACAAGTAGGCTAGCGTGCAAGCTTTCGGTGTTGGGTTTGGGGATTTAGGGTTTTGGGGTTTAGCGGTTTCGAAGTTGGATCCCTGCACACCAAACTCACCCGCAACCCTGGCACCATATTCCGGAGGATCCCGGCGTGACCCTAGACAAGGGCAACTTTAACCTTTTGTAGTGGGATCCCAAAAAACAACAACCAATAACGGGGCATAGGAACCCTAGACCCTAAAACCGTGGCCTCACCGAGGTATCCAGCGAAAAGACAAGCCTCAGCTGATCTGCAGTGAGAACGTCATAGTGCCGACTGGCGGGCGTAACGGTTTCGTCCGGAACCCAGGTCGACCACCAGTACCTGCTGCATCTTTCTATGTTTGGGTTTCCTGAACTTAATAAACCCAAATGCCTTAGTGTAAACGGGAACAAGACTAGGCCAAAACAAGCAACCCCAGTATGCCATTTGTGATCAGTATCAAGCATTAAACGGTTTAGGGTTTAGGGGAACCCTAAACCCTGAACCGTTTAATAACCGCAAGCATGAACCCTATCTTCCTGAGCCAAGGAAGAATGCCGGTCGGGATGACCCCTGGGCGGCGAAGTGCAAAGGTTCCCCGCTGGTGCGCGGCTATGGTGCTTTCGTCAAGGACGGTTTAAGTAGGGTTTTGGAGATTTCAGGGTTTCGGGTTCTAGGGTTTATGGCTTCTGGGCTTTAGGACTTTATGGTTTAGGTGTCGGGCTTTCAGTTAGCAATCAGCGGTCCTCCGTGATTCTCCGACCCTAAACCCCCTAAACCCCTAAACCCTGAACCCCTAAACCCCTAAACCCTAAACCCCTAACCCCTAAACCCCTAAGCCCTGAACCCTGAACCGCCAGGAGAGCTTCAATGTAACCACCGAGATGCCGGTGATTTCGGCCTGGCGCGTGGCGCTGCTGGCGCGCAAGGCCAACAAGGACTTTGGCCAATAGCAGATCATGGCATTGTGTAATAAGTTATAGCATATTATGGCATGTTGTAGTATTTTGCATTTGTGTGTAATACGTTATAACATATTCTGGTAGATCGTGATATATTCTGGGGTAGCATTGCCGGTGGTAGGAGGATTTTCGATTTCAGGATTTGGGGTGGGGGGCTTTGCTTTTTTCGAGCTTTGCGAAGTAAGTCGGTTTGAGTCTGCGCAATGTGAGCTTTGCTATGATTTTGGGCGTTAATGAGGGGTTTAGGAGACTGGGTGGCTTATTTGACGGTGGCTTCAGCAGTTGTTGGATCGATTGCTTACTTCGAGGCCCCGCTAGCGGCGAGAAGGTACTGCAATAGAGATCTATGATAAACAGCATGCCTTCATTATTATGAAAACTTAATGTATGTTGCTGAACAGCAATCCCAGGCCACCCTATCAAACAAAGTATATACCTTAAATTATGATAGGATCCCTTATATGGTTTAAGGTACATTCCTTAATTAAGGGATTTTGGAGGCTCTGGGCAATGCCTACATTCGAAACTGAGCCAGACCTGGAGCCTTCATCTGGGTTTCGTGAGATTCCGACCTGTGAGTTAAACAAACCGGGGCACGAACTGTTGATGATATAAATCCTGCATTACCTTAAGGACCCTAAACTATGGCAATGATGGTATATTCCTTATTATGGGTAATGCAGGATTTATATCATCAACCGAAGTACAGACCCCAGATAGCAGAGTTGTACAGTTAGCGTTGCGTATGAGTGTCCTAAGATTTGTCCTTACATATTTACAGAACAGTATGCACTAAAAGCCTGTTGTGAGTTTTCAGGCCCCTACATCTAGTTCCTGTGAGGTCACCAACGAAATGTTTAAAGTTTAGGGTTTAGGGTTTAGGGACCTAGCAACACAAGGACCACGAGGGGAAGCCCTTCAACAGAGACATGATGCTGGGCAATGCATTTAGGGTCTGCAAGCTTGTGTGGGAGGTGGCTCTCCAGGGTTTAACAGACCGGGACTATCAGCGTTACCATAAAGTTCTTAAAGGAATACTCCAAGCAACATCAGAGCTTTTCATTTCTTTTGAATGACTTATGACAAGAGCTTAGCACAGGGTGATGGAGTTCCTGTTTCGGTAAAGGGTCAGGGTTCATCGCGCAGCGGCGCAGCTTTAGCATATCGGCGAGGGACGCTCGCGGCAGCCTTGCGGGGCATTATACCCTAAAGCCCGGAATCCGATGACAATAATAACACTGAAACTCCAAAGCCCCAAATACGAAAAAACAAACACGGACTGGCTGCGAGCGGTGTGTTTGATGCGCCTTCCTCTCAGGACAAACAGTGATGAGGTGGCGGCAGGGCTGAAGGCAAGCAGTCCTTGAAACTATTAATCAGACTGGAGTTTTGGGGGTTCCGTATTATAGCTATAGTACAGTATAACCCAAAACCCTATTCTAATCATTAAGGCCCATATATTAGGTAGCAGGATCAGCGGACCTGGAGTCCTCTACAACCCTAAACTCCTTAACTTCAGGGCGTTGGAGTGCCTGTGCCCCTCAAGGCCAGCAACGCCACCACAGAGGAGGCCGCGAGATGGCTAGGGATTGCAACTGATAGGCCCGTTCCTTACTATGGTAAGCCGCATTAAGTTCCATAAGACCGCAATAAACCGGAAAGACTTCTTCTAAGCCGGAAACCCCTGGAACAAGACTAAATCTCGGCAACAACCCGAAACTCCTAAACCCCAAAGCCCGAAGCCCCAAAATCGCGACACCCCCAAAATCGGCAAACCCCGAACCAGGGGCCCCAATATAGTACCCTACACAGTAGGATCCTTATTATGAGGACCCCAAAGTAAGGTAACAGTAGCCCTAATTTTCGGAAACCCCCAAGAATCGGAAACCCTGAACAGGGGCCCTAATGTAGTACCCTAAATAGTAGGATCCTTATTATAAGGACCCTTTCGGAAACTCCCCAAAAATCGACAAACCCTGAACAGGGGCCCATCTCCCTCCTGGAGACCTCGACGGTCACCTTGCAGCAGAGCTTACAGCAAGCGGGAGCTGAGGCCACCGGAGCGCATCGCTTCTGGGTCTTTATAATAACAGGCATCTATAAGGATTCCTTAAAGGGATCTGTAAGGGTGCTACAAAGGGTTTAGGGTTTCGAATTTCCGAAAATTCGGGGTACCTCATTTTGGAGTCCTTATAAGAAGGATCCTACTATTTGGGTACTATACTAAGGTCTCCTATTTTAGGAAATCCCAAACAGGCCCTACCAGGTTGGCCCTTCTTGGAGCTTAGCAAGTAGGGTTACCTAGTAGTAGAGTAGGTAACCTTTAACCTTTTTGGGGTAGTATAGTCCCTACATAAAACCAAAAAGGTTAACCTTGAGTTCCCCATGATACCCGACAAGTAGGTCAGAGACTCCAGAAGAGTGCAGTTAGAGGACCTGCTGACTTCATAAGTCGGGTTGGATAGAAGTAAGGTAACTATAGTTATATCAGTCTATATCTGGTTATAGCCTACATACTAGATCCCATCATCCTCCAAGTAGTTAAGGAATACAGAGGCTTTGTTTCTGTGTGTGTGTGTCTTCTACACAGTACAGCTTGCTAACGTATAAAGGCTAGGCACATTAGTGCTCCAAGTAGAGGTGAAGGTAAATGCCTTAATTGAGGGGTGGTCGAGTCTCTGGCTGTTGTAGCTGTCGGGGCTTCCAAGATATTGATCTTCATAGGGTTTGGGGCCTGGGGCGTGTTGACGAATTTGGATTAGTGTTTTGAGGTGGTGAATTTAGGGCTTTTAGCTTTGTTTATTGCTCAGAGTTTCTGGTCTGGCGATGGTTCTGGCGAGCTGCGAAGGTCTGAGCTAACCAGGTCGCTTATGAGGATTTTGGGCGCTGCAAGAGGCTCCAAAAACCCTGAGTTCATACATATACCGTTGAACTGTAACCCAGATGCCCATATGACTTAAATAGGAGTTTCTAGGATGCCCAGTAGTACCCTTATTCCTTTTTTGTAGTCCTAGGTTCCTTATAAAGTTACCCAATACCAAAAAGAGAGGCCTTTTTGTTCTTAGGTTACTGGGTATCCTAGTTATCATAAGTACTATTTAGGGTACTATATGAGGATCTCCTATGTTCGGACACTCCCATTTCAGGATTCGGGCTTGCTGTCTTGAGTCTGGTGGGCCGACTTCGGCTCCCTCCTAGGTTTCCTTGGACAAGGATTCTGGGAGCCTCTGGGTCAGAGTTGTGGGGCTTTGGGTTTCTCGACATGGTCATGGGCTCTGGAAGATTGTTCGTGAGGCTGCAGGGTTTGGACTTAAGGGTTTGTGGCTCACACTAGCCGAGGCCTTGCAACCTACATACTAAGTCCTGCCCCAATCATGGAGTTTGGGTTCTTGTTGTTTTTCATCAGACTTACGGTGGGTTCCGCACTTGTGTTTTAGTTTTTAATTTTTGGAACCATCACTAACAGCTTCCACTTATGGTCATTCAACCATTTCCAAAAAATATATTCTAACAACGACACCGATGTTACACCCTATGAAACCTACAACCTCCCTATTCGGTGATCAAGTGCTGGATACTCCTAAACCCTCCTAGTACTATAGTAGGACCCTCGGAGGAACCCTATTCTACTTCTCAAGGCTCTTGTAATATTGTACTGATAGAGTTCCTCACGGTTCCTTAACACATTCGTTATAGCATAGAACCCTCAGAGGAGCCTTGTTCTACTTCGCGAGGCTCTCATATTGCACTGGGCTCTTTGAATAGAGTTCATAAGGGTTCTCGAAGCCTAAACACCAGACCACCGGGAGGATCCAGAAAGTAGATCCCTTAATGGGGGTTCTTATCAAGTACCCCTAGTAGTATAGGGTCCCAAAACGGTGGTTCTACTTTCTGGATCCTCCTGGTGGTCTGGGACCCTAAACCCTAAACCCCAAACTAAAACCTAAACCCCAAACTAAACCCTAAACCCTAAACTAAACCCCTAAAACCCTGAACCCCAAACTAAACCCCTAAACCCATATGCCAAAGCATGGAACCCTATAAAAGGAGCCCTGGACTTCCTCAGGCTCCTCTCCTTGGGGAGCCTTTCCTAATTCTTAAGGCCCCTACTGTCTATTCCCTGAACCCTAAACTAAACCGTAACCCCCTGAACCCATTGTACCGCACCTAGATCATTACGAATACTATTTGGGGGTTCCTTTTGTATTTGTAAGAAGTATAACATTCTCAAAACCCTATTCTAATTGCTAGGGCCCCTATATGCTCATTGGCAGGTCACTGTCCTGGAGATGGAGAGCTTGTCGATCGCGGATCAGATTCGAGCCATTGCGAAGCTTGCTTGGAAGATCAGAGGACTTAGTAAGAGAGCCCAACAGCCCTTAACTAAGGAATATGGCTTAAATTATATAGGGCTTCATATTATGACGTAAGCTATATTCCTTAATGAAGGGGTATTGGGCTCTCTGGGTGTAGGTAGGGGTGTAAGGGTTCCTTTACGATTTTTTACAGGGGCTCAGGGTCTCTTTAAGAGATCTATAGGGGAGTTTCCGAAAATAGGGGTGCCTTACTTAGGGATCCGTATAACAAGGATCCTACTATTTAGGGTGCTATATCAGGGTCCCCCATTTACGGAAACTCCCATAGGGGGTACTAGAAGGGTGTAGGGTTTATGCTCTACTTGGAGGGTCAGGGGACTTAGTAAGTAGAGTTAACATTGCCGTAAGCAGGGTTGTAAGTATGGTAACTATATAGCTCTACTTAAAACCCCAATGAAGGTTTTGCCTTAGTAAGTAGAGTTATCAGGATCCTAATGGTCCTAACTAGTGCTATATGTGGTTAACTATAGTTATCTTACTTATATCCCTACTTACTAAGTCCCCCGATCCTCCTAAATGCTCCTGCGGGAATCGCTCAGAGGCCTCTCCTCTTGTCGGATTGGGGGCGTAGGTTTTTTAGGATTTGACTTCTAAGGGGTTTAGGGTTGAGGGTTCTGGGTTTCGGCTTTGGGTTTAGAAGGGTTTGGGGTTGTTCAATGTAGACCCATCTTCGTTAAGCAATACAACAGGGATCCCAATACTCAACCTGAACGGAAGTGGTGTTAGTGATCAGGGGTCCACACTACTTTCATCGTTTAGAAGAGTCCTTACTTGTTGTACGTCCCCGAACTCTCGGTGAGCAAGACACTGTCCATAGTTCGGAAGCATGTTCGTCAGGGATTTTGGGGTCAAGGTGCAGGTTGCGATGGACTCCACGTCCCCAAGAACTGCCACAGGGCCGTAAATCCTCAAGCCCATAATGTAGGAACCTGATTGAGAAACCTTGGGCCTTTTTGGGGGTTCTATACGGGCCCCTTTTTAGGGTATTATCAGGGTATTTTAAGGGTTTTGGGGGGGTTTAATGTAGGAACCTGAGTAAGAGACTTTGGGCCTTTGTTGGAGCTCCTTATATGAACCCTACGATTTTTGGGACACAGGCCCAGGGTTTCTGAATCATTTTCCTACAGTATCCCCGAAAGCCTTGGGCAGAAAGCCGCAGAACCGAAGAAGCCGAGGAACACGGATCTGCTCATCAGCGCACATTCCGCTGCCCTCTCCTGGATGATGGCCCTGCCTCCTTGCGCGCAGGTCCTCGAGCCTAGGCTGGACGTACAAGACCTGTTTACAGTACGGTGGTGTTCCCTTTGAAAGAGTCAACAAAGGCTACTGTAAGGGCCATCATAAGGATTTAGTATATAGGGCTTTACAATATTTGGGGGGTTCCTTGTTATAAGTATTGTACAGCGGGTCCCAGAACCTTAATCTAACTATTAAGGCCCCTGTATTACAGTCGTCACGCACTTGTCTGGGGTTTTGGCTTTCGGTGTGAAGGATTCAGGCTTTAGGGTGTAGGATTTCTGGGCGTAGACTCACTAGCATTAGATTAAGCTGATTTTCGTCGAGAAGTCATTAGATAATTGGTGATTGGCCTTGCGGGATTGTAAGAAATGTGACGGAGCCAAGACGGATTACCAAAATGGAAGCCGATATGATCGTTGCCTCGGGTGCCCTTTATATGTATGGTACAACGTACCCAAATCCCTCTTCTGATCCGAGGATCAGGGGACTTAGTAGGTAGGCTTATAAGCAAGGTAGCTATAGTTATATCTGCACAAGCCCAATCAAGATACTTGTAGCCCTACTAAGTCCCATGATCCTCCAAGTAATCTTGAGGCCCCATGTTGCATGGTTCAAGCCCAACGTTGCCTACCAGCACCTGAAAGATCAGGTGACTTCGTGAGAAGCAGAAGAGGTAGTATAGGGGCCGACATTTTTAAAAATCGTGTTCTGGGGTGGGATAATGGGCCCCAAAACCCTATTCTAAGTATTTAGGCAACTATATTATGAGCACCCAAAAAGGGGTCTATCCTACATCTGATTCCTCGCAAGGCGAGCTCGCTCAGTCCCCGAGCCGTTTTGATAGTCCTTCTCGGAGACTTTTGCAGAAGACCCTTACGCAGATTCCCGGGAGGATCCAAAAGTAGATCCCCTAATGCAGGTTCCTATAAAATACCCTTAGTAGCACAGAGCCCCAAATTAGGGGATCTACTTTCTAGATCCTCCCGGGGGTTTGGGTATGGAACCTTTATGGAGAAGTTTTTACACCCCAAGAGCCAAGGAGATTTGTGCAGCTGGGAACTACCAGTTCATTAACTACGCGAAGCTCGCCGGAGTGGAGCACCACTGTGCTGGCCCCCACATCGCCTGGGGAACAAAAGGCCACGGCTTGGGGGTCAAAGCTTCAGGGTCTTAAGGTTCGGGGACGAGTATGCATTAGTCCTAAGAAGTATCATGTTGTGGGCTCTACATATGTTATACCTTGTTTATGTATATTCTAAACAACTTATATGTATACATATATATATATATAACTATAGATATGCAACTACATATCGGTGTGTATACTTAAAGGATCTCCGAGAGCTGCCCCGAGTCGCGGAGGCTTCACGGCCCCGGTGGATGACATGGTGAAGCAGGCCCGAGATGCCAAAGCCAGGCGTGACAAGTGCTTGAAAGAGATGTGATGAGGCTAGGGTTAAGGGTTTAAGGGGTTTAGGCTTTAAGAAAGAGCTGTGATCATGAGTTTCGCGGCCTACTTCGGTTTGAAAGTTTTATGGAGTTGCGGGTTGCGGGTGTAGACTTTTCAAGGCCGTGGTAGATGTCAGTAGAGTTTAGGTCAGTCGCAGCAAATTGCCTGTGGCGACGTCGGAAGTGTCTGCGGGTCCAACTTTCCAACTGTGGAAGCCTTCATCTCATCGGCCACCTCATCTAAATGCGAGTATAGATACATATTATATAGAAAAATGAAAAAATACATACAGATATATATATATATATATATATACAGATACATAGATGCGTATATAAATGCGTATGCTAAATGTATTACATAGATGGCATACTGTGTATGTGTATGTATGTATGTGTATATATATATACAGATTTATATATATTTCGTATTTACATATGTATACATACATGTACATGCACCTACATTTACATTTTCATTAGCACATATAGATAGATAGATAGATAGATAGATGTGTATGTGTATGTACATATATATATATATATGTACATGTGTAGTACTTACAAGCCCCGCAACGGCCCCTGAAAACCCGACATCTTCTGGAAGAGTAGGTAGAACCGTGCCAACGCCCCTCCCGCAAAAAGAAACTTTAAGCCCGAAAGCCTGGAGCAGAAATGCGAGAAGTAATATCCCCTGGTATGGTGCAAGGCTTACTAGGAGGATCATGGGACTGAGAGAGTCGGGGTATAAGTGCCTTCAGGAGGGCTACATGTAGATGAAACTATAGTTGCCTTAATTATAACCTTGCTTAGCACATCCCTTGATCCTCCAAGTAAGGTTTAGGGCTTAGGTTCATCAAGTGTTACTGGGCTCTTTGAGAAGACTTGAGACATGTATTTGAATGCCAAGCCCGAAAGTCCGAAAGCTTCTTTCAAGTCTTACACAAGCAAACCTTCTAGAGAAACCTATAACAAAAGGAACGGCAGAAGCCCTAATAGTAAAATGGGCACCCAAACCCTATCCCTATTCTTCAGGCCCCTATATGATAACATGAGGGACGGCAGGAGCCCTAAGAAGATCTCTGAAAGTTGGCTCTGTTTCGCGATGGGATCGTCGACTGCCCCGGCTGCAGCAAAAGACCTGGCTGGGCTTCGGGACTAATATAGGGGCCTTAATAATTAGAACAGTCCCCTTAGAGGTCCTTTAAAGGTGTCGATAAGGGATACTATGAGTACTATAATATATGGGCTCTAATAATCAGGTTAGGGTTTTGGGGCACATTACAGTGTAATTACAATAAAGAACCTCCAAAATAGTATTGGTTATTATTCCAGACCCTATATTAGGGGCATTGGCAGTCGAGGACTCGAGGAGCACATTTCAGGTTCCATGTCTGTTGCACGTCTGGCAAGACAATTGCGTGTATGTTCGGCCAAGACTTACAATACTCAACAAGGCTCCAAGAACAGCCCAGTAGATCAGTCTCCATAAGGAGGATATCACAAAGCCATGTTAATGATGTCCCCATATTTCTTTGTCTCGCGAGTCGCTTCTTCTGTGGAGAAGTCAGCCTGGAAACTCCAACGCCATCTTTAAGGAATACTCCTGAAACTATAGCCGGGGTCCTTACATAAGGGACGTTTGACTCACGGATGTTGGCGTGTCTGGGAAGTCGTAGCAGTCATGGCTTTCGGTGCCCGTGCTGTTGTCGTCCCAAACCCTAAACCCTAAACCGTAATCGAGCCTCTCGGGCAGCTCGGGTTTGAATGTGTACCTTCTGATGGTCGATGGTTTGGGGCTCATGGGTTTAAGCTTCATGTTTGGCTGTATATGGTAGCTTCCGAAAATATAGGGTACCTTGTTTGGGGGGGTCCTTATAACAAGGATCCTACTATTTAGTCTGCGATATTAGGGTCCCCTTATTTTCGGAAACTCCCAACCCTAAACCCTTTATAGAACCCTTATAGATCCCTTAAAGGAACCCTTAAAGGTCCCCTCGGAAGCTCCCATATTTCACCTTGGAACACCTCCAACCACCACAGACGTTTAGCTCGCAGGGTCGGATCGGCGGATTGCCCTCCCAGACCCCCGGGAGGATCCAAAAAGTAGATCCCTGATTGGGGGTTTAGCGTTTAGGGTTATTTCAAGGTTAAGGGTTTAGGGTTTCTTCTTGGGGGTTCCTATAAAGTACCCTTGGTAGTATAGGGCCCCAAATTTAGGGGATCGCTACTTTCTAGATCCTCCGGCGGGTCTGGGCTTTTGCCAGTTGCGGGTCAATGTCGGGAACTGGGGACGGGTGTCATTGGGAGCTGCCGCTGGCAATTGACGACGCTGGGTTCTTGTAAACTAAGGCTTTGAACAAGAACCCGGGAGTTTCCGGCAGACGGGATTGCGCCCTTACTGTCTGACCGGAAAGCGGCAACAGCGGCACTCATGGCCATAAACCTGAAGAGCAAGGCCTCAGGGTCGGGTGTTGGGTTTTGGTTTATGCTGGTGGGGTACCCAGAGAGCCCAACACCCCTTAATTGAGGAATATAGCTTTTATTATATAGGGCTTCATATTATGATTTGAGCTATATTCCTTAATCAAAGGGTATTGGGCTCTCTGGGTAATTGCTTTGCAGGGTTTGAAGTTCGACTACTCGGACATGGCGAAGCTTAGGCGGATGGAGCGTTTGTTTGCGCAGGAGCTGAGGCCGTGGTTGGGCCAAGTGGTCAAGATCGTGGAGAAATCGAGGAAGCCAGTGAAATGCCAGCAGCTGCAGGCAACGAACTTATTTGCCCGTAAAGCTTGCAATAGATCTACTTTAAGTTAACATCATGAACATCCCGATATTAGGTGTGTAGTCCCCGCGTAAGTACCCTGAGAGCTTGCGGTCGCAAACTCGGGACCCCCATGGTAAAGCCCTCTGTCCCTGCACAGATCCCAAAAACAACCTTTCATTGCAAACCCGAAACCCTAAACGCCGGGGTGCCTAGATCCTAACCCTCTAAACCTTAAAGCAGACCTTAGCATCCCAAACCTCACTTAGCAGAAACCTTGGCCATTGTGGGCAGCGCCGTCACAAGGCCTAGCCGCCATCGCTACACTCCCACGGCAGATTACACCACATTTTCCACTGTTACCGTACCATGCTTCTGGGCAGTTTGGAAGCATTTACGTGCGTGAAAGGCCCCAGAAACTGCACGTGCTTGATCACGTCGTGAATTCTGACATCCAAACTTGGAGTCTGACGTTCTGGGACAAGTTTCCACACCTGGGCACACGTCCTCGACTGCGTCGCTGTTGGCAGCGAGCACAAGTTCATCAACAACGTGGCCAAGGACACCGGTGCCTTCGTGCTAGTCACCATTGCCTGCAGATGTTAAGCAGCATCTTCATGTTTTGAGCAAGCCAGAATCAGAAGTTGCGCATCAATCCTGCTGGATCGCTTGAGCAGCATTATGAGTATCCAATAGGTAAATGGCCTGCAGGAAGTTCGTGCCATGCACAAGTGTGCAAAGATGTTAAGGGAAGCGTGTGCCTGTGTATCCTCGCCAGCCAGCACATCTCGAGCCACTGACAGGTCACAGAAGTGGGACTAATTCAACACCAGTTCCTTGTGTCATGGCCAGATGGTCCAGAGGTCGTGCACAGACGTCTCTTGCGACGTTAGAACCAGAGTGCGATCCAGACTCCCGGGCTCAGACATTGGACAGTTACCCTGTGGAGGTTTCCTCGCCTGACAACCCCGGGAAAGAAGCTCGTCGACAGTCGAGGCGACGTCGGAAAGGGTTTCCATGCACAGCAGTACCACGAGGCAAGAAAGAGGCACGTGCTGCCGCAGACATTGACACAGAAGACCATGTGAAGAAACAAAAGGCTATAAGGGAACTCCGTCGTGGACCCGCTGACGACAAAGGCCCCACTTCAGGAACATCCGGCCTCAACCAACGCAAGGCTGCAAAAGGTGAGAAACGCCTCTCAGACTCAGACTGTGAAAGTGTAGAGGATGACAAACCCGTCACTGGGAGCAAATCACCCAGCATGTGCAAGCTCAAGGACCTTAAGGAGGAGTTCTGCCTTTATGCCAAGCGTAAGCGAAATGGGGTGTGGGAAGCACTCCGGTTATGGATATGTGGAGCACGAGTTCTTCTCAGACTGGAGGTTATCTTGCCATCCTGTATTGTTTTGGTCTTGTGTCACCTGGCAGAAACTGAGATTGAGACGGCGAACTTGAGCGACGAGATCTACAGCTTTGGTGAAAGCCCTTCTGAGCCGACCAAGTGGCTCCTGAAAAAACTCGCGCCCGAAATAGATGTTGGCACCGAGGGGCACGAACTTCTTGGTCTAGTGCTTGGTTTTCTCTTGGCCTACCAGGCGGACTCTGCAGCTAATCGCTTTAGACAAGCAGATTCAGATATTCAGGAGATGTGTGCGTGCTTGAAAGAGGTTGCCCTGGCATGTCTTCCCAACCTTACACAAAGCAGGAAGGTGCTAGGACGGGCACGCATACATTGGGAATTTGCGAAGTCACTGTGCATTCTGCTGCAGATGTCCAATCGAGATTTGCGAAATGGATCTGTGGACGGACCGTTTTCGGCAAAGGAATGGCAAAGACTTCGAACTTTGGGTGCCTCTACGGACCAGCAAGACGCCCTGGCTGAAGCACTGCCCGAAATGCGAGTGTACATGTCGCTGCATTGGATCCACATGTTGGTAGATGCTGCTGTTGAGTACAGATGGTTGAAGAAGGAGCCTGCCGATAAGGCACGCGAAAACCTTGACGATTTCATCCTCAAGTGGAGAGATGCGCGCTGTGTAGCCTACGCTGATAAGCCCCGCGTGCTCCAAGGTCTTCTCTCCATTCTCATGTACGTCTTCTGCTTTACGCTCCCATTCCCACTGGCAGCTAAACTGGAGGGCTGGTGCAAGCCCGTGGCCTTGGTCGTGGCGCTTTCAGTCTTTGCGTTGCAGACAGCAGCTGCTGAGATGATGGAACCATTCGGCTTTGACTGGGGCGATGTGAGGTTGGACTACTATTATACTAAGTTTGAGGAATTCCTGCCCACCATTGTTGAGTGCTTGTGCTATCGGCCCACGGAAGAACTTCAAGAGCAAATCTATTGGTGTGATGACAAGCCGTTGGACCCAGGAGAGAAAATGAAAACTCCACCCGGAAATCTCAGCTTGCAACACCTCCTAACTAGGCACTTAGCTAGGCAGTTCGACTTGCCAGTTCCCACCGGAACACAGGTAATTGAAGATATCTTGTCCCGCGACTCCCGTGCTTCGAAGAAGTTGGTTGATCAAAAGAGAGCCAAACCGACGTGATCGCAATTGAGCGCCGTCGTTCTTCTGTACCGTCCTGCGAAGACATGCATGTGTCTGTGATGTACAGCTAATTTGATTCTGAGATGTCATTTTGTACAGCCGTGCAGACGGAAGACGCGATTTTTTTCTTCAAGTCTGTTGAAGAGCGGTGTAAGTTGAAGGTTGCTGCCAAGCAGAACTTATTTAAATACCCGAGCTGGAAAGAAACGGAGACCGGAAGGCATTGCACTACTCTTTTGCCACACGCCGCCATGTTCGCTCTCATCCAGGAGTGTGCGAACAACTACCACCTCGGCCGCATCTCATCACCGACAAGGACAGAAGCTTTTGAGAGAACAAGTGGGTGTTTCGGATTAGGTCCTCATGCAAATCATCATCCCATGATGTGCGCATTCCTGATTCTGATAATGATCCAGACCCAGCCAGCCTTGTGAACAAGTTTGGCAATGAACAGTTCGCCGTGCCGGTGACTAATTCAGAACATGCGTTCGTGCTCTTGAAAGTTTTTGGAGTGTGTACAGATTTTCGAAACCTGTGGAGTTTCTAAACTTCACGCCCTACACGTTGACCTCTTTTTGTTTTTAACTTTTGGAACCATCACTAACAGCTTGCACTTATGGTCATTCAACCATTTCCAAAAAATATATTCTAACAACGACACCGATGTTACACCCTATGAAACCTACAACCTCCTTATTGGGTGATCAAGTGCTGGATACTACTAAACCCTCCTAGTACTATAGTAGAACCCTCGAAGGAACCCTATTCTACTTCTCAAGGCTCTTGTAATATTGTACTGATAGAGTTCCTCACGGTTCCTTAACACATTCGTTATAGCATACCCTCAGAGGAGCCTTGTTCTACTTCGCAAGGCTCTCATATTGCAGCCCTAAACCGTCGTTTTGTTGGGAGCCGCGCAGGCAGACAGTCAAAGAAGGACGTCACCCCAACCTACAAAAAGAACCTAAGCCGAATTGCCAAAGCATGGAACCCTATAAAAGGAGCCCTGGACTTCCTCAGGCTCCTCTCCTTGGGGAGCCTTTTCTAATTCTTAAGGTCCCTACCGTCTATTCCCTGAACCCTAAATTTAAGGAAAACCCTAAACCCTAACCCTAAACCCTGAAACTTCTAAACCCCTGAACCCCTGGGAGGTCACCGTCCTGGAGATGGAGAGCTTGTCGATCGCGGATGAGATTCGAGCCATTGCGAAGCCTGCTTGGAGGATCAGGGGACTTAGTAAGAGAGCCCAATACCCCGTAATTAAGGAACATGGGCTTGAATTATATAGGGCTTCATATTATGATGTAAGCTATATTCCTTAATGAAGGGGTATTGGGCTCTCTGGGTGTAGGTAGGGGTGTAAGGGTTCCTTTACGATTTTCTACAGGGGCTCAGGGTCTCTTTAAGAGATCTATAGGGGAGTTTCCCAAAATAGGGGTGCCTTACTTAGGGATCCGTATAACAAGGATCCTACTATTTAGGGTGCTATATCAGGGTCCCCCATTTACGGAAACTCCCATAGGGGGTACTAGAAGGGTGTAGGGTTTATGGTCTACTTGGAGGGTCAGGGGGGACTTAGTAAGTAGAGTTAACATTGCCGTAAGCAGGGTTGTAAGTATGGTAACTATATAGCTCTACTTGAAACCCCAATGAAGGTTTTGCCTTAGTAAGTAGAGTTAGTGCTATATGTAGTTAACTATAGTTATCTTACTTATATCCCTACTTACTAAGTCCCCCGATCCTCCTAAATGCTCCTGCGGGAATCGCTAGAAGGCCTCTCCTCTTATTGGATTGGATTTGACTTCTAAGGGGTTTAGGGTTGAGGGTTCAGGGTTTCGCCTTTGGGTTTAGAAGGGTTTGGGGTTGTTCAATGTAGACCCTTCTTCGTTAAGCAATACAACAGGGATCCCAATACTCAACCTGAACGGAAGGGGTGTTAGTGATCAGGGGTCCGCATTACTTTCATCGTTTAGAAGATTCCTTACTTGTTGTACGTCCCCGAACTCACGGTGAGAAAGACACTGTCCATAGTTCGGAAGCATGTTCGTAAGGGATGTTGGGGTTAAGGTGTAGTTGCGATGGACTCCACGTCCCCAAGAACTGCCACAGGGCCATAAATCTTCAGCCCATGATGTAGGACCATGTAGGAAACCTGATTAAGAAAACCTTGGGCCTTCATTCGAGTTCCTTATATGAAACCTACTATTTTGGGGATATAGGCCCAGGGTTTCTTAATCAGGTTCCTACAGTATCCCCCAAGCCTTGAGCACAAAGCCGCACAACCGAAGAAGCCGAGGAACACGGATCTGCTCATCAGCGCACATTCCGCGGCCCTCTCCTGGATGATGGCCCTGCCTCCTTGCGCGCAGGTCCTCGAGCCTAGGCAGGACGTTCAAGACCTGTTTACAGTACGGTGGTGTTCCCTGTGAAGGGGTCTATAAAGGCTACTATAAGGGCTATTATAAGGATTTAGTACAGAGGGGCTTTAATGATTACCTACAATATTTTTGGGGTTCCTTGGTTTTTGTATTGTACAAAGGGCCCCAGAACCTTTTTCTAACTACTAAGGCCCCTGTATTACAGTCGTCACGCACTTGTTTGGGGTTTTGGCTTTCGGTGTAAGGATTCAGGCTTTAGGGTGTAGGATTTCTGGGCGTAGACTCACTGGCATTAGATTAAGCTGATTTTCGTCGAGAAGTCATTAGATAACTGGTGATTGGGCTTGCGGGATTGTAAGAAATGTGACGGAGCCAACAGGGATTACCAAAATGGAAGCCGACATGATCGTTGCCTCGGGTGCCCTTTATATGTATGGTACAATGTACCCCAAATCCCTCTTCTAATCTGAGGATCAGGGGACTAAGAAGGAAGGCTAAAAAGCAAGGTAGCTATAGTTATATCTACTTATAAGCCCAACCAAGATACTTGTAACCCTGCTAAGTCCCATGATCCTCCAAGTAATCTTGAGGCCCCATGTTGCATGGTTCAAGCCCCACGTTGCCTACCAGCACCTGAAAGATCAGGTGACTTTGTGAGAAGCAGAAGAGGTAGTATTGGGGCCTACATATTTACCAATACTAGTCTGGGCGGTTCCTTTTTTGGTTATGGGAAAATGCCTACTCTAATCATCTAGGCAGCTATATTATGAGCACCCAAAAATGGGTCTATCCTACATCTGATTCCTCGCAAAGCGAGCTCGCTCAGTCCCCAAGCCGTTTTGATAGTCCTTCTCGGAGACTTTTGCAGAAGACCCTTACGCAGACCCCCGGGAGGATCCAAAAAGTAGATCCCCTAATGGGGGTCCCTATAAAATGCCCTTAGTAGTATAGAGCCCCAAATTAAGGGATCTACTTTCTAGATCCTCCCCGGGGTCTGGGTATGGAACCTTTATGGATAACTTTTTACACCCCAAGAGCCAAGGAGATTTGTGCAGCTGGGAACTACCAGTTCATCAACTACGCAAAGCTCGCCGGTGTGGAGCACCACTGTGCTGGCCCCCACATCGCCTGGGGAACAAAAGGCCGCGGCTTGGGGGTAAAAGCTTCAGGGTCTTAAGGTTCGGGGACGAGTATGCGTTAGTCTTAAGAAGTATCATGTTGTGGGCTCTACATATGTTAGACCTTGTTTATGTACATTCTAAACAACTTGTATGTATACATATATATATAACTATAGATATGCATCTACATATCTGTGTGTATACTTAAAGGATCTCCGAGAGCTGCCCCGAGTCGCGGAGGCTTCACGGCCCCGGTGGATGACATGGTGAAGCAGGCCAGAGATGCCAAAGCCAGGCGTGACAAGTGCTTGAAAGAGATGTGATGAGGTTAGGGTGAAGGGTTTAAAGGGTTTAGGCTTTAGGAAAGAGCTGTGATCATGAGTTTCGCGGCCTACTTCGGTTTGAAAGTTTTATGGAGTTGCGGGTTGCGGGTGTAGACTTTTCAAGGCCGTGGTAGATGTCAGTAGAGTTTAGGTCAGTCGCAGCAAATTGCCTGTGGCGACGTCGGAAGTGTCTGCGGGTCCAACTTTCCAACTGTGGAAGCCTTCATCTCATCGGCCACCTCATCTAGATGCGAGTACAAATACATAATATATAGAAAAATACATAGATATATATATATTTATACAGATACATATATGCGTATATAAATGCATATGCTAAATGTATTGCATAGATGTCATACTGTGTATGTGTATATATATAGATATATATAGATATATACGATTACATCATATATATGTTTATATATTTCGTATTTACATATGTATACATACATGTACATGCACCTACATTTACATTTCCATTCGCACATATAGATAGATAGATAGATGTGTATGTGTATGTACATATATATATATGTACATGTGTAGTACTTACAAGCCCCGCAACGGCCCCTGAAAACCCGACATCTTCTGGAAGAGTAGGTAGAACCGTGCCAACGCCCCTACCGCAAAAAGAAGCTTTGAGCCCGAAAGCCTGAAGCCGCCCTCCGAGAAATCCGAGAAGTAATATCCCCTGATATGGTGCAAGGCTTACTAGGAGGATCATGGGACTTAGAAAGTCGGGGTATAAGTGCCTTCATGAGGGCTACATGTAGATGAAACTATAGTTGCCTTAATTATAACCTTGCTTAGCAAATCCCTTGATCCTCCAAGTAAGGTTTAGGGCTTAGGTTCATCAAGGGTTACTGGGCTCTTTGAGAAGACTTGAGACATGTATTTGAATGCCAAGCCCGAAAGCTTCTTTCAAGTCTTACACAACCAAACCTTCTAGAGAAACCTATAACAAAAGGAACGGTAGAAGCCCTAATAGTATAATGGGCCGCCAAACCCTATCCCTATTCTTCAGGCCCCTGCATGATAACATGAGGGACGGCAGGAGCCCTAATAAGACCTCTGAAAGTTGGCTCTGTTTCGCGATGGGATCGTCGACTGCCCTGGCTGCAGCAAAAGACCTGGCTGGGCTTCGGGACTAATCAATATAGGGGCCTTAATAATTAGAACAGTCCCCTTAGAGGTCCTTTAAAGGTGTCGATGAGGGATACTATGAGTACTACAATATATGGGCTCTAATAATCAGGTTAGGGTTTTGGGGCACATTACAGTGTAATTACAATGAAGAACCTCCAAAATAGTATTGGTAATTATTCCAGACCCTATATTAGGGGCATTAGCAGTCGAGGACTCGAGGAGCACATTTCAGGTTCCATGTCTGTTGCACGTCTGGCAAGACAATTGCGTGTATGTTCGGCCAAGACTTACAATACTCAACAAGGCTCCAAGAACAGCCCGGTAGATCAGTCCCCGTAAGGAGGATATCACAAAGCCATGTTAATGATGTCCCCATATTTCTTTGTCTCGCGAGTCGCTTCTTCTGTGGAGAAGTCAGCCTGGAAAATCCAACGCCATCGGTTTAAGGAATACTCCTGAAACTATAGCCGGGGTCCTTACATAAGGGACGTTTGACTCACGGATGTTGGCGTGCCTGGGAAGTCGTAGCAGTCATGGCTTTCGGTGCCCGGGCTGTTGTCGTCCTAAACCCTAAACCCTCAACCGTAATAGAGCCTCTCGGGCTGCTCGGGTTTTAATGTGTACCTTCTGATGGTCGATGGCTTAGGGCTCATGGGTTTAAGCTTCATGTTTGGCTGTATATGGGAGTTTCCGAAAATATAGGGTCCCAACCCTAAACCCTTATAGAACCCTTATAGATCCCTTAAAGGAACCCTTAAAAGGTCCCCTAGGAAGCTCCCATATTTCACCTTGGAACACCTCCAACCACCACAGCCGTTTAGCTCGCAGGGTCGGATCGGCGGATTGCCCTCCCAGACCCCCGGGAGGATCCAAAAAGTAGATCCCTGATTGGGGGTTTAGCGTGTAGAGTTATTTCAAGGTTTAGGGTTTAGGGTTTCTTCTTGGGGGTTCCTATAAAGTACCCTTGGTAGTATAGGGCCCCAAATTTAGGGGATCGCTACTTTCTAGATCCTCCCGGGGGTCTGGGCTTTTGCCAGTTGCGGGTCAATGTCGGGAACTGGGGACGGGTGTCATTGGGAGCTGCCGCTGGCAATTGACGACGCTGGGTTCTTGTAAACTAAGGCTTTGAACAAGAACCCGGGAGTTTCCGGCAGACGGGATTGTGCCCTTACTGTCTGACCGGAAAGCGGCAACAGCGGCACTCATGGCCATAAACCTGAAGAGCAAGGCCTCAGGGTCGGGTGTTGGGTTTTGGTTTATGCTGGTGGGGTACCCAGAGAGCCCAACACCCCTTAATTGAGGAATATAGCTTTTATTATATAGGGCTTCATATTATGATTTGAGCTATATTCCTTAATCAAAGGGTATTGGGCTCTCTGGGTAATTGCTTTGCAGGGTTTGAAGTTCGACTACTCGGACATGGCGAAGCTTAGGCGGATGGAGCGTTTGTTTGCGCAGGAGCTGAGGCCGTGGTTGGGCCAAGTGGTCAAGATCGTGGAGAAATCGAGGAAGCCAGTGAAATGCCAGCAGCTGCAGGCAACGAACTTATTTGCCCGTAGAGCTTGCAATAGATCTACTTTAAGTTAACATCATGAACATCCCGATATTAGGTGTGTAGTCCCCGCGTAAGTACCCTGAGAGCTTGCGGTCGCAAACTCGGGACCCCCATGGTAAAGCCCTCTGTCCCTGCACAGATCCCAAAAACAACCTTTCATTGCAAACCCGAAACCCTAAACGCCGGGGTGCCTAGATCCTAACCCTCTAAACCTTAAAGCAGACCTTAGCATCCCAAACCTCACTTAGCAGAAACCTTGGCCATTGTGGGCAGCGCCGTCACAAGGCCTAGCCGCCATCGCTACACTCCCACGGCAGATTACACCACATTTTCCACTGTTACCGTACCATGCTTCTGGGCAGTTTGGAAGCATTTACGTGCGTGAAAGGCCCCAGAAACTGCACGTGCTTGATCACGTCGTGAATTCTGACATCCAAACTTGGAGTCTGACGTTCTGGGACAAGTTTCCACACCTGGGCACACGTCCTCGACTGCGTCGCTGTTGGCAGCGAGCACAAGTTCATCAACAACGTGGCCAAGGACACCGGTGCCTTCGTGCTAGTCACCATTGCCTGCAGATGTTAAGCAGCATCTTCATGTTTTGAGCAAGCCAGAATCAGAAGTTGCGCATCAATCCTGCTGGATCGCTTGAGCAGCATTATGAGTATCCAATAGGTAAATGGCCTGCAGGAAGTTCGTGCCATGCACAAGTGTGCAATCATGTTAAGGGAAGCGTGTGCCTGTGTATCCTCGCCAGCCAGCACATCTCGAGCCACTGACAGGTCACAGAAGTGGGACTAATTCAACACCAGTTCCTTGTGTCATGGCCAGATGGTCCAGAGGTCGTGCACAGACGTCTCTTGCGACGTTAGAACCAGAGTGCGATCCAGACTCCCGGGCTCAGACATTGGACAGTTACCCTGTGGAGGTTTCCTCGCCTGACAACCCCGGGAAAGAAGCTCGTCGACAGTCGAGGCGACGTCGGAAAGGGTTTCCATGCACAGCAGTACCACGAGGCAAGAAAGAGGCACGTGCTGCCGCAGACATTGACACAGAAGACCATGTGAAGAAACAAAAGGCTATAAGGGAACTCCGTCGTGGACCCGCTGACGACAAAGGCCCCACTTCAGGAACATCCGGCCTCAACCAACGCAAGGCTGCAAAAGGTGAGAAACGCCTCTCAGACTCAGACTGTGAAAGTGTAGAGGATGACAAACCCGTCACTGGGAGCAAATCACCCAGCATGTGCAAGCTCAAGGACCTTAAGGAGGAGTTCTGCCTTTATGCCAAGCGTAAGCGAAATGGGGTGTGGGAAGCACTCCGGTTATGGATATGTGGAGCACGAGTTCTTCTCAGACTGGAGGTTATCTTGCCATCCTGTATTGTTTTGGTCTTGTGTCACCTGGCAGAAACTGAGATTGAGACGGCGAACTTGAGCGACGAGATCTACAGCTTTGGTGAAAGCCCTTCTGAGCCGACCAAGTGGCTCCTGAAAAAACTCGCGCCCGAAATAGATGTTGGCACCGAGGGGCACGAACTTCTTGGTCTAGTGCTTGGCTTTCTCTTGGCCTACCAGGCGGACTCTGCAGCTAATCGCTTTAGACAAGCAGATTCAGATATTCAGGAGATGTGTGCGTGCTTGAAAGAGGTTGCCCTGGCATGTCTTCCCAACCTTACACAAAGCAGGAAGGTGCTAGGACGGGCACGCATACATTGGGAATTTGCGAAGTCACTGTGCATTCTGCTGCAGATGTCCAATCGAGATTTGCGAAATGGATCTGTGGACGGACCGTTTTCGGCAAAGGAATGGCAAAGACTTCGAACTTTGGGTGCCTCTACGGACCAGCAAGACGCCCTGGCTGAAGCACTGCCCGAAATGCGAGTGTACATGTCGCTGCATTGGATCCACATGTTGGTAGATGCTGCTGTTGAGTACAGATGGTTGAAGAAGGAGCCTGCCGATAAGGCACGCGAAAACCTTGACGATTTCATCCTCAAGTGGAGAGATGCGCGCTGTGTAGCCTACGCTGATAAGCCCCGCGTGCTCCAAGGTCTTCTCTCCATTCTCATGTACGTCTTCTGCTTTACGCTCCCATTCCCACTGGCAGCTAAACTGGAGGGCTGGTGCAAGCCCGTGGCCTTGGTCGTGGCGCTTTCAGTCTTTGCGTTGCAGACAGCAGCTGCTGAGATGATGGAACCATTCGGCTTTGACTGGGGCGATGTGAGGTTGGACTACTATTATACTAAGTTTGAGGAATTCCTGCCCACCATTGTTGAGTGCTTGTGCTATCGGCCCACGGAAGAACTTCAAGAGCAAATCTATTGGTGTGATGACAAGCCGTTGGACCCAGGAGAGAAAATGAAAACTCCACCCGGAAATCTCAGCTTGCAACACCTCCTAACTAGGCACTTAGCTAGGCAGTTCGACTTGCCAGTTCCCACCGGAACACAGGTAATTGAAGATATCTTGTCCCGCGACTCCCGTGCTTCGAAGAAGTTGGTTGATCAAAAGAGAGCCAAACCGACGTGATCGCAATTGAGCGCCGTCGTTCTTCTGTACCGTCCTGCGAAGACATGCATGTGTCTGTGATGTACAGCTAATTTGATTCTGAGATGTCATTTTGTACAGCCGTGCAGACGGAAGACGCGATTTTTTTCTTCAAGTCTGTTGAAGAGCGGTGTAAGTTGAAGGTTGCTGCCAAGCAGAACTTATTTAAATACCCGAGCTGGAAAGAAACGGAGACCGGAAGGCATTGCACTACTCTTTTGCCACACGCCGCCATGTTCGCTCTCATCCAGGAGTGTGCGAACAACTACCACCTCGGCCGCATCTCATCACCGACAAGGACAGAAGCTTTTGAGAGAACAAGTGGGTGTTTCGGATTAGGTCCTCATGCAAATCATCATCCCATGATGTGCGCATTCCTGATTCTGATAATGATCCAGACCCAGCCAGCCTTGTGAACAAGTTTGGCAATGAACAGTTCGCCGTGCCGGTGACTAATTCAGAACATGCGTTCGTGCTCTTGAAAGTTTTTGGAGTGTGTACAGATTTTCGAAACCTGTGGAGTTTCTAAACTTCACGCCCTACACGTTGACCTCTTTTTGTTTTTAACTTTTGGAACCATCACTAACAGCTTGCACTTATGGTCATTCAACCATTTCCAAAAAATATATTCTAACAACGACACCGATGTTACACCCTATGAAACCTACAACCTCCTTATTGGGTGATCAAGTGCTGGATACTACTAAACCCTCCTAGTACTATAGTAGAACCCTCGAAGGAACCCTATTCTACTTCTCAAGGCTCTTGTAATATTGTACTGATAGAGTTCCTCACGGTTCCTTAACACATTCGTTATAGCATACCCTCAGAGGAGCCTTGTTCTACTTCGCAAGGCTCTCATATTGCAGCCCTAAACCGTCGTTTTGTTGGGAGCCGCGCAGGCAGACAGTCAAAGAAGGACGTCACCCCAACCTACAAAAAGAACCTAAGCCGAATTGCCAAAGCATGGAACCCTATAAAAGGAGCCCTGGACTTCCTCAGGCTCCTCTCCTTGGGGAGCCTTTTCTAATTCTTAAGGTCCCTACCGTCTATTCCCTGAACCCTAAATTTAAGGAAAACCCTAAACCCTAACCCTAAACCCTGAAACTTCTAAACCCCTGAACCCCTGGGAGGTCACCGTCCTGGAGATGGAGAGCTTGTCGATCGCGGATGAGATTCGAGCCATTGCGAAGCCTGCTTGGAGGATCAGGGGACTTAGTAAGAGAGCCCAATACCCCGTAATTAAGGAACATGGGCTTGAATTATATAGGGCTTCATATTATGATGTAAGCTATATTCCTTAATTACGGGTTATTGGGCTCCCTGGGTGTAGGTAGGGGTGTAAGGGTTCCTTTACGATTTTCTACAGGGGCTCAGGGTCTCTTTAAGAGATCTATAGGGGAGTTTCCGAAAATAGGGGTGCCTTACTTAGGGATCCGTATAACAAGGATCCTACTATTTAGGGTGCTATATCAGGGTCCCCCATTTACGGAAACTCCCATAGGGGGTACTAGAAGGGTGTAGGGTTTATGGTCTACTTGGAGGGTCAGGGGGGACTTAGTAAGTAGAGTTAACATTGCCGTAAGCAGGGTTGTAAGTATGGCAACTATATAGCTCTACTTAAAACCCCAATGAAGGTTTTGCCTTAGTAAGTAGAGTTATGAGGATCCTAATGGTCCTAATTAGTGCTATATTATATGTAGTTAACTATAGTTATCTTACTTATATCCCTACTTACTAAGTCCCCCGATCCTCCTAAATGCTCCTGCGGGAATCGCTCAGAGGCCTCTCCTCTTGTCGGATTGGGGGCGTAGGTTTTTTAGGATTTGACTTCTAAGGGGTTTAGGGTTGAGGGTTCTGGGTTTCGGCTTTGGGTTTAGAAGGGTTTGGGGTTGTTCAATGTAGACCCTTCTTCGTTAAGCAATACAACAGGGATCCCAATACTCAACCTGAACGGAAGGGGTGTTAGTGATCAGGGGTCCGCATTACTTTCATCGTTAAGAAGATTCCTTGCTTGTTGTAGAAAGTCCCCGAACTCACGGTGAGAAAGACACTGTCCATAGTTCGGAAGCATGTTCGTCAGGGATGTTGGTGTTAAGGTGCAGGTTGCGATGGACTCCACGTCCCCAAGAACTGCCACAGGGCCGTAAATCCTCAAGCCCATAATGTCGGAACCTGATTAAGAAACCTTGGGCCTTTATTCGAGTTCCTTATATGAACCCTACTATTTTTGGGACATAGGCCCAGGGTTTCTTAATCAGGTTCCTACAGTATCCCCGAAGCCCTGAGCAGAAACACAACCGAAGAAGCCGAGGAACACGGATCTGCTCATCAGCGCACATTCCGCGGCCCTCTCCTGGATGATGGCCCTGCCTCCTTGCGCGCAGGTCCTCGAGCCTAGGCAGGACGTTCAAGACCTGTTTACAGTACGGTGGTGTTCCCTTTGAAGGGGTCTATAAAGGCTACTATAAGGGCTATTATAAGGATTTAGTACAGAGGGGCTTTAATGATTACCTACAATATTTTTGGGGTTCCTTGGTTTTTGTATTGTACAACGGGCCCCAGAACCTTTTTCTAACTACTAAGGCCCCTGTATTACAGTCGTCACGCACTTGTTTGGGGTTTTGGCTTTCGGTGTAAGGATTCAGGCTTTAGGGTGTAGGATTTCTGGGCGTAGACTCACGGGCATTAGATTAAGCTGATTTTCGTCGAGAAGTCATCAGATAACTGGTGATTGGGCTTGCGGGATTGTAAGAAATGTGACGGAGCCAACAGGGATTACCAAAATGGAAGCCGACATGATCGTTGCCTCGGGTGCCCTTTATACGTATAGTACAATGTACCCCAAATCCCTCTTCTAATCTGAGGATCAGGGGACTAAGAAGGAAGGCTAAAAAGCAAGGTAGCTATAGTTATATCTACTTATAAGCCCAATCAAGATACTTGTAACCCTGCTAAGTCCCATGATCCTCCAAGTAATCTTGAGGCCCCATGTTGCATGGTTCAAGCCCCACCTTGCCTACCAGCACCTGAAAGATCAGGTGACTTCGTGAGAAGCAGAAGAGGTAGTATAGGGGCCTACATAATTACCAATACTAGTCTGGGCGGTTCCTTTTTTGATTATGGGGAAGCCTTATTCTAATCATCTAAGCAGCTATATTAGAGCACCCAACAATGGGTCTATCCTACATCTGATTCCTCGCAAAGCGAGCGCGCTCAGTCCCCAAGCCGTTTTGATAGTCCTTCTCGGAGACTTTTGCAGAAGACCCTTACACAGACCCCCGGGAGGATCCAAAAAGTAGATCCCCTAATGGGGGTTCCTATAAAATGGCCTTAGTAGTATAGAGCCCCAAATAAGGGGATCTACTTTCTAGATCCTCCCGGGGTCTGGGTATGGAACCTTTATGGATAACTTTTTTACACCCCAAGAGCCAAGGAGATTTGTGCAGCTGGGAACTACCAGTTCATCAACTACGCAAAGCTCGCCGGTGTGGAGCACCACTGTGCTGGCCCCCACATCGCCTGGGGAACAAAAGGCCGCGGTTTGGGGGTCAAAGCTTCAGGGTCTTAAGGTTCGGAGACGAGTATGCGTTAGTCTTAAGAAGTATCATGTTGTGGGCTCTACATATGTTATACCTTGTTTATGTATATTCTAAACAACTTATATGTATACATATATATATATATTAGTATAGATATGCATCTACATATCGGTGTGTATACTTAAAGGATCTCCGAGAACTGCCCCGAGTCACGGAGGCTTCACGGCCCCGGTGGATGACATGGTGAAGCAGGCCCGAGATGCCAAAGCCAGGCGTGACAAGTGCTTGAAAGAGATGTGATGAGGTTAGGGTTAAGGGTTGAAAGGGTTTAGGCTTTAGGAAAGAGCTTGAGTTTCGCGGCCTACTTCGGTTTGAAAGTTTTATGGAGTTGCGGGTTGCGGGTGTAGACTTTTCAAGGCCGTGGTAGACGTCAGTAGAGTTTAGGTCAGTCGCAGCAAATTGCCTGCGGCGACGTTGGAAGTGTCTGCGGGTCCAACTTTCCAACAGTGGAAGCCTTCATCTCATCGGCCACCTCATCTAAATGCGAGTATAAATACATAAAATATAGAAAAATACATACATACATACTAATACATACATATATATATATATGCAGATACATATATGCGTATACAAATGCATATGCTAAATGTATTACATAGATGGCATACTGTGTATGTATATACATATAGGTAGAAACGTTTACATCATACAGATGTTTATATATTTCGTATTTACATATGTATACATACATGTACATGCACCTACATTTACATTTTCATTAGCACATATAGATAGATAGATAGATGTGTATGTGTATGTACATATATATATATGTACAAAGAGTAGGTAGAACCGTGCCAACGCCCCTACCGCAAAAAGAAGCTTTAAGCCCGAAAGCCTGAAGCCGCCCTCCGAGAAATCCGAGAAGTAATATGCCCTGATATGGTGCAAGGCTTACTAGGAGGATCATGGGACTTAGAAAGTCGGGGTATAAGTGCCTTCATGAGGGCTACATGTAGATGAAACTATAGTTGCCTTAATTATAACCTTGCTTAGCAAATCCCTTGATCCTCCAAGTAAGGTTTAGGGCTTAGGTTCATCAAGGGTTACTGGGCTCTTTGAGAAGACTTGAGACATGTATTTGAATGCCAAGCCCGAAAGCTTCTTTCAAGTCTTACACAACCAAACCTTCTAGAGAAACCTATAACAAAAGGAACGGTAGAAGCCCTAATAGTATAATGGGCCGCCAAACCCTATCCCTATTCTTAAGGCCCCTATATGATAACACGAGGGACGGCAGGAGCCCTAAGAAGACCTCTGAAAGTTGGCTCTGTTTCGCGATGGGATCGTCGACTGCCCCGGCTGCAGCAAAAGACCTGGCTGGGCTTCGGGACTAATATAGGGGCCTTAATAATTAGAACAGTCCCCTTAAAGGTCCTTTAAAGGTGTCGATAAGGGATACTATGAGGGTACTATACTATAGGGGCTCTAATAATCAGACTCGGGTTTTGGGGCACATACAGTGTTATTACAATAAAGAACCTCCAAAACAGTATTGGTAATTATTCCAGACCCTATATTCGGTGCATAAAGCAGTCTGTTTACGGCTTTCGGGATGAGGACTCGAGGGGCACATGAAATCAAAGGTTCCATATTTGTTGCACGTCAGGCAGTTTAGACAATTGCTTGCAGGTTCGGCTTGGCATAATCATAACAGGAGCTGGGACTTACAATGCTCAACAAGGCTCCAAGAACAGCCCAGTAGATCAGTCTCCATAAGGAGGATATCACAAAGCCATGTTAGTGATGTCCCCATATTTCTTTGTCTCGCGAGTCGCTTCTTCTGTGGAGAAGTCAGCCTGGAAACTCCAACGCCATCGGGTTAAGGAATACTCCTGAAACTATAGCCGGGGTCCTTACATAAGGGACGTTTGACTCACGGATGTTGGCGTGTCTGGGAAGTCGTAGCAGTCATGGCTTTCGGTGCCCGGGCTGTTGTCGTCCTAAACCCTAAACTCTAAACCCTAAACCGTAATCGAGCCTCTCGGACAGCTCGGGTTTGAACGTGTTCCTTCTGATGGTCGATGGTTTGGGGCTCATGGGTTTGAGCTTCATGTTTGGCTGTACATGGGAGTTTCCGAAAATTTTTGGGTACCTTGTTTGGGGGGGGTTCCTCATAATAAAGATCCTACTATTTAGGGTACGATATTAGGGTCACCTATTTTCGGAAACTCCCATATTGCATATTGGAACACCTCTATCATCATAGACTTTTGGCTCGCAGGGTGCGGATCGGCGGATTGCCCTTCTGCCAGTTGCGGGGTCAATGTCGGGAAATGGGGACGGGTGTCATTGGGAGCTGCCGCTGGCAATTGACGACTCTGGGTTCTGGTTAAGGATCTTAACTTAAGTTACCACGATAGGGGTCTATAGTAACTAATATGGTTTCCAGTTTTTAGTATTTCCAGATTATAGTAACTTAAACCAAGACCCTTGACAAGAACCCAGGACTTTCCGGCAGACGGGATTGTGCAGGTACTGTCTGACCGGAAAGCGGCAACCGCGGCACTTATGGCCGTAAACCTGAAGAGCAAGGCCTCAGGGTCGGATGTTGGGGTTTGGTCTAGGCTGGTGGGTTACCCAGACCCCCGGGAGGATCCAGAAAGTAGATCCCCATTAAGGGATCTACTTTTTGGATCCTCCCGGGGGTCTAGGTAATTGCTTTGCAAGATTTGAAGTTCGACTACTCGGACATGGCGAAGCATAGCCAGATAGAGCGTTTGTTTGCGCAGGAGCTGAGGCAGTGGTTGGGCCAAGTGGTCAAGATCGTGGAGAAATCGAAGAAGTCAGTGAAATGCCAGCAGCTGCAGACGACCAACCGGAAGGCGGTGGTAACGAACCCATGTGCCCTTAGAGCCTGCAATATATCTACTTTAAACATCATGAACATCCCGATAATAGGTGTGTAGTCCCTGCGTAAGTAACCTGAGAGCTTGCGGTCGCAAAGTCGAGACACACATGGTAAAGCCCTCTGTCCCTGCTCAGATCCCCAAAAAGAACTAGTCATTGTAAACCCGAAACCCTAAATGCCTGGGTGCCTCGATCCTAACCTTCTAAACCTTAAAGCAAACCTTAGCATCCCAAACTTCTGAATCCCAAAGCCTTAACCCTAAACCTTACAACCCGAAACCCCTGAACCCAAAACTCCTGAACCTCAAAGCCTTAGCCCTAAATCCCTAACCCTTAAAGCCCCAAATCCCTGAAGCCTAGAGCCTACCCGGAAGCCTACTTTAGTTATAACCCTACTTACTAAGTCCCCTAAGCCCGAAACCCCTAAAGATCCCATAGAGAACCCTCATAGCACCCTTAAAGGAACCCTACTTACTAGGTCCCATGATCCTCTAAGTAAGAGCTCTCGGAGGCTCCAAGTATCTGGTTGGCGCCGGCGGCCTTGACGAAACCTTTGGCTTCGGAGCAGGAGGGCTTCAGGGGTTTTACTAGGTAGAGCTTTGGGACATTTTATATTTTCCCTTATTGGGCTAAAGAGGATCTTATTTACTAATATTTTTCAAAGGCTTTAAAAGCCCACCTAGTTTTAGGGTGTTAGGGTTTTGGGTTTAGGGTGTCGCATCCGTCAACCTCTAAGCCCTAATACGTAAACCCTTAGCAGCCCTAAACCCCTAAACTCTGGTATTACGGGTTTTTCACCTGGGTTCTGATTGAGTTTCCAAAGGGTTCTCATAGGGTTGTATAGAGTTTGATGTAGGGTCTTACAGGGCTTCAGGGTTTAGTTTAGGAGTGTGTGAAGGGCCTTAATGATTAGAACAGGGACCTCGGGCTTGTTATACGACACTTGTACATGGAGGGATACTTTTACTCCTTGTTTCGATCCTTACATTACGGGCGTTACACACATGTACATATATATATATATACGCACATACATGTATATATATATATATATGTATGTATATGCCCAAACTTTTCGTGTTCCAATATTGAGGACCCCGACACATCAGAAAACCCAGAGACTCCAATGATCTTTAAGGATCCCTGAGTCTAGAGTTTTATAAAGATTTGTGTTGAGGAGCCCGAAGATAGTTCAGGGGCTTTGGGGTTTAGGGTTTAGTGTTTAGAGATTTGAGTTAAGGAGCCCTAAGATAGTTTAGGGGCTTTGGGGTTTAGGGTTTAACGAGTATTCCGAAAGTACGCAATGTTGAAGACTACGGGTAGCTTACCGTCCACGTGCAGTACGAGAGTAGTGATTTGATTAGCATGGTAGCATTCGGGTTAACCGAGCAAGCGCCTTGTGGCCTTGTGCACGGAGGATCCAACTACTGCAAAGGCCTTACCAACATTATACTATAATCATTAAGGAACCCCCACAATAGCATTGGTAATTATTTAAGCCCTAAACCGTAAACCAGACCCCTATACTAAACAGCGCTCTTGCAGGACTTGGTCAGACGTAACCTGGCGGGCATCTATCGCGCCGCTCGCCGACGCCTGGACAACCAGAGCACGATGCACGTCCACATCCTGTGTCCTGAAGCCTCAGAAGGATGGATTACTTGGAGGATCATGGGACTTAGTACGTAGGAATTCGGGCATTAGGGTTATAAGTGGATGCATGATCCTCCAGGTATCGGTCAAAAACGATTACGAATTGCTGAGGCTAGTACCATCCTCGTCGTCATCATCACTACTCCGGTCATAAGCACTGCCATGACAATCTGTATGCTTGTTACTACTAGTGTTACTCGCAAGTCAGAGCTTTGGGAATGGTTTCAATCTTGTGGCCAGGTGCCGAGATTTGCTGCCGCGAGGCAGGCAGAGACGGGGAGCCGATTTTGATGCAGGGTGGTGCAGGCGGCCTCTTTTGGTGTACTTTGTCGGTTGGCCCTACCTTCAAGGACCAACAGAAGCTGCACCTCGATGGACAAGTAGCGATTTCATCTTTGGCTAACATGCTCTCAACCTCGTTGCACTAGACACATGCGCAGGCGCGGAGAAACGCAGACGGGTTTAGGGTTTAAGGTTTAGGGTCAAAGAGACAGTCATGCCAATAGAGACACTGGCGGACACTGGGAGTTGCAGAAAATCAAGGACTGTCAGAAGGTACTGCAACCCGAAGCAAGCCCCCATATAAACCCTTCACAAAACCACATCAAGCCCGATCGAACCCATGTAAACCCTCACTAAGGAAGCGCCAGATTTGAAAACTTCATGCCGGGACTCGCTGATCCCACCCGCACTCACACACACGCACAGAACCCAGAGCGCAGAGAGAGAGAGAGAGAGAAATAAAGCAGGCGGAAAACAAAGGCGCAGGTTCTTGACCCATTCTGGTGTTGTTTGCGGTGTCACACTCGGTTTCTGTGAGGGGGGGGGTCTAGAAGACGTGCCGTAAGGAGTTTACAGCATGTTAGTAGAACTGTATGTGCGCGGTTCTGAATGTTTGGCCGTCTTTCTTTCGCGGTCGCTTGGGCCAACTACAGGGTCACCTGGTTTTGTCGACTGCTCTGCCCACGAGGAAGTTCATTTTGAACAAGGACAAGCGGATGGGTGTTATGGAGAGTCTGGAAAGCTTTCTGGGCAGCTTTCGTGGACGAAATGATCATGGCAATCTGCTCGAGACTGACGTGGCACTCAGCCGGCCGCCTTGCACACATTGAGCCTTCGGATGAGCTAGGAACTCCCAAGCCATTTTAAATTCAAAACTGGTTGTCAGTAGAGCAAAGTTCATAGTGCAGGCCCCGAACAGCAGGCTCCATAATATAAGCATCGCCCCAACAACAAACAAGCAACCCCGAGCATGACTAAAGCTTAAGCCGCTATAAGAGCCTTACGAAACCCTATCCCCTATAACAGCCTTACAAAACCTTTTCAAGCCTCTCCGGGCAGAACACCTGCTCACCGAGGCAGGCGGCTGACGATGCTCGCTTCTTTGGCCAGGTGCTCTTCGACAGTAAGGAGGAGTTGCCGCAGGCTCGCAAAATCCAGTTTCAGGATCGGTACGTATACGAGTACCAATACTAGTTCCAGTTAAGGGTGTAGGGTTCGGCGTCGTCTGAAGAGGTTTTTGGCTGCAGGCTATCAGGTCAGGTTTACGGTATTTGGGTCTGGTGTTTCTGGTTGAGGTGTATAGGGGCTTTTGGGGTTGCTCAACGAAGTGATCACCGTTTGGGCTAGTTGTGTTGAAGGCTTTGCTCAGCGCCAACCACATCAAACGGACACACCATGGAGATCACACCGCGGTACTAAGCTTGTCTAGAGGGTATCCTTGTATTAGCGAGTGTTAAACATTGTTAAACTATTCGGAAATAATCCGTATACAGTAAATAATCCCCAAACTTTGTCCTGATTATTAAGGCCTCTCTATCACCTGTGGGATACCAAGTAGTTCCTACTTGGGAGACCCCGCTCCGAAGGACCCACAAAAGGAGGTTCACAATACTAGCTTCAACAAACGAGAACCCTAGAGACGCCAAGATCCCTTAAATTGAGGAAGATTTCTCGTTTTATGGTAGAGATCCTACTATAATTGAAGGAAGATTCCTCAAATTATGGTAGGGATCCTACTGTAATTGAAGGAAGATTCCTCAAATTATGGTAGGGATCCTACTATAGTTGAAGGAATATGCCTCAAATTGTGGTAGGATCCGTAATATGGTTTAAGGAAATTTCCTTACTTTTGGGACAATGGAGTCTCTGAAATCCTCGAACTCGAAATCCCCAGACCCCAAACTTTTGTAAACACTACCAATATCCCTTAGAAGGGGCCCCCACCCTGTAATAGTGGCATAATCGGAATGTAACAGGGTCCTAATATAATCCTTATAGTCACTACTACAGGGTAGGGGCCCCTTCTAAAGTATCCCGAAATCTTGCGATCCTCAAGAGCCCGAGCCCCGAAAAAGGGACCCAAGCAGAGACCCCGAGCTCTTGTCTGTCTAGTTCTTAGTAGGGAGTGGGGGAATGGATTCTTACGATAGTCCCTTAACTAGGACCCAGAGTAGGCCCTTATTCCCTTTTTGCATGGTTCAGGTTCTCTTACAAGCCCCTTTAACCCAAAAAGGGCACCCTTTGTTTTCCTAGTTACTGTACGTCCAGTTAAAGTCTCCTATAATGGTCCCAATAACCCATCCCCCCATTCCCTTCCAAGAACTCGTCAGTTGTTTTCAGACAGGTGGAGCTTCACGGCAGGTTCCTCTGCGCCTTCCACCATCGGTTGGAGGGAAGCTCGGTGGCTTTGGATCCCGTAAGTTCTTTAGCAGTTTACGTAGAGGATCAGGAGACTTAGTAAGTAGATTTTTATGTAAAGTAACTATATCGTTATATCTGCTAATAACCTACTTACTAAGTCCCATGATCCTCCAAATAAGGGTTGCGGTTTCGGGTTTGGGCCTGGGCATTAGGCTTTGAGGTGTGGGGTTCAGGGTCTTTGGTAGGGCCGCTTCCGTTTGGTTGTTCGTTCAGCCTCTTGTCTGGCCTTTCACCACCGCCTGCTGCTTCTGCTGCGGATGCTGCCCCACCTCCTCCTGCGGCTGCAAGCGGCAGCGGCTGCTGCTCCTCCGACTATTGCTCCTCCTCCTCCTCCTCCTCCTCCTCCTCCTCCGCCTCCTCCTTCTCTTCCTCCTCCTACTACTACCTCCACCTGCTCCTCCTACTTTTACTCCTACTCCTACTCTTCCTACTCCTCCTCCGCTCAGGCTCCTGCTCCTGCTCCTGCTGCTACTGCTATTACTATAGCAACACCCATCATTGTGAACTTATCTGTGGTTGGAGCCTGTAGCCTTGATCTAAGCCTGCCAAATCTGTTCAGGTCCGTCCTCACTTTGCAGAAGATGCTCTCCTCGGTCCCTCCCCTTTTTTCCGCGCTGCCCCCGAAGCTCAGGTGAAAACAGCGATGCGCTACCTGTAGTCTTGGGTGATTTCTTGCAGCTTTGCAAACAAATGCGCAGCACGCCAGACTTGAAAGAGTATCTGAACCTGTTTCTCGGCCTGTCATTAAAGACTGTAAACCAAGGTTTTGGGGATTTCAGGATTGAGACTTCAGGGTGCTTAGTGGTTACTGAAGGGAGAGGGGCTGGGTCTTTGAACACTTGGGAAGTTTGAGCCTGACCTCCCAGGCTGGCCGATCCCATCTCCAGCAGCCAAGCAGTTCTGGCGATGTGTGCCCTCGCTCGGCTGGTGAAGCTGCCGACAGACGCCGGCACCTTTGCAAGAGGCCCGGAAGGCGTAGCCAAGGATGCCCAAATCCTAGGATCCTCACGCTCAGTTTGGGAGTGCGAGCTCCCTGCGGGTCTGCAATCGAACACAGACCTTGGGCCCAGCAGGATCTGCTAAACACACCTGAGCTCGAATCCCTACCCTGACCCTGAACTACCAAAAGCTACTGGGTAGGGCTTTGGGACATTAGATATTTTCTCTTCTTGGGCATAAGAGGGATCTTACCTACTAATATTTTTCAAAGGCTTTACAAAGCCCCTCCTAGGCTACCCTTTTTCAGCAGGGGCGTGTGGTTCTGTGCAACCCGGGATTTCGGTTCTAAGGTGGCCATGCTTACAAGGAGAGCCTGCGGTTTAGGGACCAGTGATTTCAGCAAGGAACCAGGAAGTTTCTTGAGTTTGAAAGGTCTCTACGAACAGACATTAAATTGGTGGGATCCTTCATTGAAGGATCCTAAACACCTGTACCGTGCTATATCCAAAAAAATTCAGAGGGATCCTTGCTTTCACGGATGTGGGGGGGGTGTGTGGGTTATGGGGTAGGCGGTTCAGGGCGTCGGGGCCCAGGCCTAAACCCGGAATCCTGGGATTCTGTGGGCTTCGGTTTATTAACTTTGAGGCTCTGGTGGCTACTCTTGAAAGTTTGGGCTGATTGGCATAGACGCCTGTTTCTTACGAACAATTTCCTCGATGGTTTCAGCATGTGTGCCTGTGCATGAGCACTCAAGAGTTTGAAAGTCTGTGCTGACGGGCTTGGGTCCTGTTAAAGTCTGCTTGGAGCAGGCGAGCTGGTGCTGGTAGAGAGCCTCGACTGCACATATCGTAGGACATCATCCCTCTGAGACACAGGTTCTGCTGCATCTTCATCCAAACTTCTAAACCCACGCCAAGCCGCCCAGCGCTGTGACCCCTGAAACTGCTCACAACCCCGCAACCACCAAAAAAAATCCCCGCACCCGCAACCGCAAGCCCGAAATCCGGACTTTCAACACCCGATGCACGAGAATCTTGTACCCTTTTGGGCTCGGAGCTTGGGGCTAGTTTAGGGCTCAAGAGTTTAAGGTCTAGGATTTCGCAGCATGCCCCGAGCTACCAAAGCCTTCAACCCTGAACCCTAATATAGGGACCAAAATAATTACCTAGACTATCGGAGGGGGTTCCTTACTATAAGTATAGTATACTGGGTACCAAAATCCTGTTCCAATCATTAAGGCCCCTATATTAAACCAGCCCAGGAGAGCCAAGGGATCGAACTCCAAAAGCAAGAAAGGCCAGGGTGAACGGAGCGAAGCTTCCGTGGGCGAAGTTGTGCAGGCCGGCGGAACTGCGGGGGGGTTTCGGATTCCAGGCTTTTGGGCTTGGGGTCGAGGGCTCACAGTTTTCAAATTGTGTCAAAGTCTGTTCCAAGGTAGCTTGCCTTTGGGTGGGTGTGGGTAATGACACGGTTCCCAGACCGGAGCCTTACTGCATGAGTAATGCCACGTAAAGAGCATGCCCGTCTCATCGAGGTGGGGCACCTTTGGATCCCTGATCACCGGGTGCTTTTGGTGTTTTGTGCGGCTTTACAAGGGTTCTGAGTAAGGTTTGTAGCTGTCCTTACGTCAACGATTAAGAGAGAGGACGGCCATTGGGGGCATGGCCGGCCACCGGCAGGTCCTGTTCCTTGGCTCACACTAAAACACACTAGTCGCTGGTCTCAGGGCTTCGTATTTCATGGAAAAAACCAGATGCTCCAAAACCTTGCTTTACCTATGAAGGCACCTACATTAGCAGTTTCATGCCTGCCGCATCCGCCCAGGACCGATCAAAGTAAAATGCACTCTTGACCCGAAACCTCCGAGACAAAATATCAGAACAAGGCTTCGGGGTATGACAAAGTACAGTTATAAGAAGGAAACCTCAGATTTTGGCTTGTAAACTACTCCCGAAAGTGTAAATTCTAGCAGTCTGATTCTGCAACAGCAGTAACATGGAAAGCAGGAACCACAAGCAGGAAGAATGATAGTGCGTGTACTCACCCAGAGAGCCAAGTAGCCCTTTATTAAGGAATATGGCTTAAGTTATATAGGCTTAAGTTATATGGGGCTTCATATTATGACTTAAGCCATCTTCCTTAATCAAGGGGTATTGGGCTCTCTGGGCATGATCGCAAGAGCCATATCCGCGGCAGGCTTCCCAGTACAAGCTGAGGGTGCGGAAACTTAGCGGTGAGGTCGCTGGAGAGTCTCAGATGCACCATGGGGAGGGACCCTTAAGGGAGGTTGGGGCGGGTGGGGGGGGGGGGGTGTACCGCGCTCCCTCCTAAGGGTCCCTATGAACATGGGGCGCTGGCTAATGTGAGGCCCGTTTGGGGGTCCCAGTTGAGAATGACATTCCTTTTGGGAACCGCAGGAAGGTGCCCTAGCCAACAGAACGAGCCAAGTAGCCACGAAGCAATAAAACAATAATCATAACTTAGCAATGACAAGAAGAATAGCGATAACAAGAAGAAGAAGAATAGTAAGAATGTGATTGCCAAACAGGATGGGATCCGATAGAAGTAGTGCTCGTCGTCGTCGCAGTAGCCGCGGCGACAACGAATACATTCTCATCCGATTTCCTTTTTGCGAGTGGCAAGAAGTAGAACGTCAAGCCAACAGCAGTGGCTGACCACGTGGATCCTCATAATCGACAGTGTGAGTAGAAACTGCAAGACTTAATCCGCTCACAGACTGCAAACGTCGAACGATTGGGCTGATGTGTGATACTTAACTAGCGACGATGCCGGAGATGTGCCCAGCGGATGGACGAGCATGTTGAGGCCTGTGACATACATCATTTGCTACTTGTTTGCTTACTTGACGAATCAAGAGTCTCCGAAATCATTTGTGCCTCAGTGGAGGGAGCTACCCTTTCCCCAACTGTTGCAGAAACTGAAAACTGGACCCACAGCTCAGGAGGAGGAAGAAGTGCACGTGGACAGGGTGAAGCCTCTTTCAGCGACGTGCACGTGGTCCGGTGTTGGGTCGATCAGCTCCAACGTGCTTTCTGCGTTTGCAGCATGTTCTTGCAAAGCACAGGATTTTCACGCCCTGCTGCAGCAAGAGCCTCTTCTGAAATGCCTAGTGTTGGAGCCTTAGTAGTTTGAAAAGGGTTTTGCACGGCTCCTTAATATAGTTTTTGTATTATATACCCCCAAACCCTGTTCTAATTACTAAGGCCGCTATACTACATGTGGCTGCTTGTAGGAGTCGAGTCAGTGAGACTTCCCAAAGGCAGCCGCTTTCACGGGGCTCGAAGTCTCCCCACCTTGTTGGTTTTGGTGGTTAGCATCACAAAAATCTTACCTTTGGTTAGTAGGGAGGTACAATTATAACTACTATTACTACTATTCTTAGATTCCCTACTAACCAAAGGTAAGAAATTGGAAAAGCAGTGAGCTAGGAGGATCCTGAATATGAGGAGCCACAAATTGGGTGCACGAAGGACTGCTGGCGTGGGCTACAGACGATGCTACGAGCTGATGCATACCGAGGCGGTGCATGGTGGCTGGAAGCTGTGAGGCTCGCTCTGTCTCGGATTATAGGGCTTGAAGACCTGGGTGAGCGTAGTTTCGGAGGGTTTGTTAGGGCCTTGAGCGGGTGTCTAATGGGGTTGTCCTAGGCGTTACTGAAAGTGCTTACAGGCAGGGTTAAGATCCCTTGAACTTGTCCGATCTGCCACAGATGGTAGCAATATTAGGAACACCAGACAGAACAGAAAGCTATAAGCAATCCTGGCCACAATCAACAGTCGCAACCAAAAGTGCATATTCGGAAGAGCAACGACTATACTGGGTACAGTAAATAGAACAACCGTGATCATGAGAGCAGGTTGTTTACAAGCTGACCTGGGTCTTTCGTTCGGGCTCAACCCATCCGTGTCACAACCCATCAATGACATTTTTCTGACGGCATGCTTTTCATGGCTTTGTATACTATGCCATTGGCCCAGGGCACACTGCCGACCATAGAGACAGAGGTGCCCTCAGCTGGTCCGATATAAAAGAAGGCCAGAAACGAGCATGTCTGCCCTCTCAAAACCCTAAACGCTGAGCCCTGAACCTGTTCCAGTTACAGTTAAAGGTATAAACGTGTCATCACCCCTTCATCAAGGACGCCCTCTTCAGAAGCCTTACTAGGCCTGAAGGGAGATTGCAAATCCACGAAGCCTCCAGCGACCGTGCAACCAGGTTTCCCGGTGGTACCCCTTCCTTCACTTTTGGGGACCTTCTCTCGAGGATTGAGAAGTTGGCAAACTAACACAAAGCCCTAAGCCTTAAACACCGAGATCCCGACGCAGGCTACTGCGGAAACGAAGCCCTAGTAGTACAGTAGGTATCCTTGAACCTTTTTGGGGTAGTATAGTCCCTCTATATACTCCCTATATAACCAAAAAGGTTAACCTTGAATTCCCCATGATGCCCGACAAGTAGGCGACTATTCGTGAAGCCTGGACTCCCATATCCCTTATTCAAGGAATATTCCTCAAATCATATATCCCTTAATTAAGGAATACCTAGGGTTCCTTTAAGGGATCTATAGGGTTTAGGGTTTAGGGGACTCCACTATCCCTTAATTAAGTCATATTCCTCAAATCATATGAGGGATCCTACCATAATTTTTAAGGAATATTCCTTAATTGAAGGATATTGGAGTCTCTGGGATGGGTTGTAGTTTTCGGGCTCTGAAAAATAAAGACCACCCATAATCGTGTAGGTACTCATTAAGGGCTTTAAGGGCTTTGAACGATTTAGGGTTTAGGAGCGGGGCTCTGACAAGTATTTATGGATAGGTACCTCTATAGGGACCATAAAGGAGAATCAACAAGTTTCCCAAATTGGATTTAGGGTTTAGCTGTTAGAAGCAAAGCCCAGCAGGCAGATGATCCAGGCAGAGTCCTTCTACGGAGACGTGGGCCTCCTTTCCTTGCTTCAGCCGGTCCGCTTCGACCCGGACGGAGGAAGAGGGAGCGTTAGGGTGTGAGGCTTTTTGGGTTTAAGGTTTGTGGTTTAGGGTTTAGGGTTTGGAGTTTGGGGTTTAGGGTTTGGAGTTTGGGGTTTAGGGTTCAGGGTTTGGGGTCTAGGGCAGATGGAGGACAGGAATGGTTTAAGTTCTCGAATGCCGGCGTTGTTATTACTGGCCTTGCTGCCTTCAGCGTTGCAGCATTATTACAGTCATTGGTGATCTTTCGTATTAGCTCAATTAGGAAAAACATACTGGGTTGCTGTCTTGGTGGTGAGTTTTGTGTGGTTTAAGGGCCTGGCTGAATCGTAAACCGTAAAACCCCAAAACCCCAAAGCTATCCCAAACGTTCATCGAGTTTTAAGTACCCTAACCCAAACCCAGCCTTTGGGAGGATCTAGAAAGTAGATCCCCTAATTTGTAGGCCCAAAACTTACTTTTCTAGGAACCCCCATTAAGGGACCTACTTTTGAATCCTCCCAGGCGTCTGGGAAGTAGGACCCCTGTTGGGGGTACTTACAACTCTACTTGCTACTTACTACCTACTTACTAAGTCCCCCGACCCTCGAAGCAGACCCTAAACCCTAAGCCCTTGTAGTACCCTACAGAGCCCTTAAAGGGACCTATAACCCCCTACTTACTAAGTCCCCTGAGCATCTAAGCAGGAGCTTTCGAAGAGGAGCAACTCTCCCGTGCCTTGAAGGGCCTGGCTGTGGCAGAGATCTCAGAGGCACTCGGTCTCCCCCTCCCGTCCCTATCGAAGTACACGGTAGATCCCCAACAACCCGGCAGAATACTCAAAAAGAATTATTCTGATAATTAAGGCCGCTGTATCAGAAAAAAACGTAGAAGCCCTTGTCGGCCCCTTCTAAGGGAACCCTTCTAAAGGAACACTATGCTTACTAATTAAGGCCCCTATAGAACCTTTGAAGGAATTCTGTTCGAATCAGTAAGGCTCCTAAACCCTAAACCGTTTAAGGCCCCTTCAGAAGACTGTCAACCTAGGTGGCAATTTGGGAAACTTGTTGATTCTCCTTTATGGTCCCTATAGAGGTACCTATCCATAAATACTTTTCAGAGCCCCGCTCCTAAACCCTAAATCGTTCAAAGCCCTTAATAATTACCTACACTATTATGGGTGGTCCTTATTTTTCAGGGCCCCAAAAGTACAACCCATCCCAGAGACTCCAATATCCCTTAATTAAGGGATATACCTTAAATTTCCTTAGGATCCCTTATATGATTTAAGGAATATGCCTTAATTAAGGGATATTGGAGTCCCCTAGACCCTAAACCCTATAGATCCCTTAAAGGAACCCTAGGTATTCCTTACCCAGACCCCCGGGAGGATCTTAATGGGGGATCCTATAAAATACCCTTAGTAGTATAGAGCCCCAAATTAGGGGATCTACTTTCTAGATCCTCCCGGGGGTCTGGGTAATTAAGGGATATTGGAGTCTCTGGGATCAACTCACTTCAGAGGCAGTGCAGGATGCTCTTTGGAGCGCTCTGCTTGGGGAGCGGTGCCTGGGCGGGCTCCTTTAAGTGATCCTTTACTTAGAGGATCATGGGACTAAGTAAGTAGGGTTCCTTAAAGGGCTCCTTAAAGGGATCTATAGGGGTACTATAAGGGTTTAGGGTTTAGGGTCCACTTAGAGGATCATGGGACCAAGTAAGTAGGGTTATACGTACCCTAATTAGGGTTATAAGGATATATAACTATAGTTACCTTACTTATAACCCTACTTACGAAGTCCCATGATCCTCCAAGTAGGGGGTAAGGGTTTGGGGGTTCGTTTAAGGGATCCTTTTGGGGTTTAGGATTGAGGGTTTGGGGTTTTAGGGTCTGGGGGTTCCCTTCAGGCTTGGGGGGTTGCTCTTGGGCATTTACCCAGACCCCCGGGAGGATCCAAAAAGTAGATCCCTTAATGGGGGATCCTATAAAATACCCTTAGTAGTATAGAGCCCCAAATTAGGGGATCTACTTTCTAGATCCTCCCGGGGGTCTGGGTAAAGGGTTCGATCAGGGTTCTACGGTTGATTATATAGATCATGACCCTAGGCTCTGGGAATTATGGTATATTCCTTACCCAGACCCTCGGGAGGATCCGAAAAGTAGATCCCTTAATGGGGGTTCCTATAAAGGGTAGTATAGGGCCCAAAATTAGGGCATCTACTTTCTAGATCCTCCGGTATTATGGGTAATGTATGAAATTCGATCAAGAAGGTTTGGAGCGGTGCCTGCCCTTGTTGCTGTTCAGGTGCCCAGAGAGCCCAATACCCCTTAATTAAGGAATACCTGGGGTTCCGGATCTTTAGGGTTTAGGGTTTAGGGGACTCCAATGCCCCTTAATTAAGGAATATGGCTTATCATAGTATGAAGTCCTATACAGTGAAGGCCGTGTTCCTTAATAAAGGGTTGTGGGGCTCTCTGGGTGCAAGGTTTTCAAGCAATGGGGGCTGTAGGATTCCTAGTAGTAGTAGTAGTAGTAGTAGTAGTAGTAGTAGTAGTAGTAGTAGTAGTAGTAGTAGTAGTAGTAGTAGTAGTAGTAGTAGTAGTAGGGTAGGGTAGGGAACCTTTGACGTTTTTGGCTAGTATATCCCCTATATAACCCCTATATAACCAAAAAGGTTAACCTTTAGTTCCCCATGATACCCGACCAGTAGGGTTTTCAGTTTGAGGAATGAGGGTCATGGGGTTCGGGATCAGGAGTTTTAAGGTTTAGGGTCAACGCGCCTTCAGAGGTCAGGGTTTAGGGCTGAGGGCATTTCAGTTCAGGTTTGGTGAGAAGACGAAATGCAGAAAGCTGTTTAAGTTTTGGAGGGCTTCGTTTTCATATGATAGTTGTGGTTAAGTGTAGCGTTGGTTCTGCGTTGAGGGTTTACATGTTGGTTCCATGTTCGTCCTGATTCCTTGTGGAAGATATGGACCAGACACAGCAGGAAATCGAAGCTCTAAACCCAACGCCCCCAAACCTGAAAAACCTTTGACCCGATGCGACCCCAAGATCCTTAGAAGCCGCCAAGCCCCGAAACCCTGAATCGTAACCTCTTGCTCATCCACTCCCTGAGAGCCCACGCACCCAGAAAGTAGATCCCCAAATTTGGGGGCCCTACACTACTAAGGGTGCTTCATAGGAACCCCCATTAAGGGATCTGCTTTTTGGATCTCTTTCGAGGGTCTGGGTACTAAGGATCCTCCTCCTTAGGGTACTACATTCGTCCCCACCCAGAGCCCCGGCTACCCCATCGTGTCCTCCTTTTTTGGGGGGCCCTACTTGGAGGATCATGGGACTTAGTAAGTAAAGTTGTAAGTAAGGTAACTTTATAGTTTATGTCTACTCATAACCCAAATTCAGATACTTATAACCCTACTTACTAAGTCCCATGATCCTCCAAGTACTGAGAGCCCAGGCACCATGTGCAGGACTTGTTCCGTCTTCTCCGGCTCTTCGAACAGCCTCTTCGCGTGAGCGCAGGGGAGTTCGTGCGTTGAGGGCTCGTCCGGTGAAGGGCTTCAGAGTTTTAGGGTATTCCAGTAGCCGAAAAGACCTACCTACGTTTTTAAGGACCTATATATAGAAACCATAAGGAACAACAAAAAAGATGGGTCTTTTCAGCTACAGGTTGGGTTTGAGGGCTGGGGTGTGTAGGGTTTTT